TCTCTCCTCGTCATTGTATTATTTACCGAAATATTCACCTTTCGATCCCGACTTATGAAGGACAATAATATGTAAGTATAATTCTTTTCAAATTTAATTACCAATTTCCTTTATTCCTATCTACATTTGTCTTTGCCTTACAAAACTGCAATTTATCAACATAAATATTAATTTAGGTTTCATTAGGTTCATTTAAAAAAAAATTATTTTTCACAGAGTTAAAAAGAGATAACAAAAATTATACATAATAATTGAAATACAAAGAAAATAATTTTAAGCTTAAAATATAATTTTTTTCAACTAATTAAAAAAATGCCAGTTACTTGACAATTGTTTCACATACACTGAAACCTCCATCGAGGGAAATTCGATCGAGTGCCGTCTCTATTTTTTTTCGGTGACGCGGCAGGGAAGCGATGTAAGAGGGAAGCCGATGAGTGGCGCTTCTTTTTCTAATTTATTTATTTCTTCTTTGTAAAAAATTTCCGTACGGAGTTCCGTAAAGAATTTCTATACTTAATGTCTACAAATATTCCATATTGTATATTTTTTAGTAAAGTTTTCGATAACTTTAAAAAGAATATTACCAACTACAAATAATGTTGGTAACAGTTTAGCAGTTTTTTAAAAATTATCGAAAAGTCTACAAAAATATACAATGTTAACTAATTAAATGTTTGATTTACATTTTGTTCATTTAAACGTTTAAAACTTTAGTGACATTAAATGGTAAATTTCATTTTTATTGTAAGTTAATGTTTAATGATTACTAACTACTCTTTTCTTTACAGATGCCAGTCTTCAAAGTGTGGTCGGCCGATCGAAAAAAACGGGTTTGCGTAATTTGCCAACCAACATTGGAGAACTTTATTGCATGCGCAAATTTGAAATTGGGCTTTGATGGAGAAAGTCTTTGTCTTGAAACGGATGGAACACTGATTGACAGCGATGAAATTTTAGAACATTTTCAAAAAGAAGTTTTTATCTTATTAAAAGAGAATGAAAATTGGACAGAAGTTAATTCAGCAAGTGCTTCTTCTTCTATGAATGAAAATGGAATACCAGGACCAGTTCAGGAAACAGAAAGGTTGCCAGGCAATGATGAACCAAATCAGCAGTTTCTTCCACATGATCATGTACCAAGGGTTGATCCGAATCCACTATTACTCAGAAACATAAATATTTGGCATAATTACCAATATGATTGGACAAATTTAGATCGAAATTACATAGAAAAATTGGAACAAGGACAATCACAAAATGAAATTAAGAAAGAAGTTATACATAAAGTCATTCTTCAAATGCATAATATTAATAAATTTATTCCATGTGCAGTATTTCGTACTGTTGCAAAAGAAATTGTTGCAAAATATCCTGAGAGTTTCGAAGACAGAAAAAATAATATAAAATTTGGAAATGGTTTTACTAGTGTCTACAGCAGCCTTCTAAATCATCATAACTACTTAATAAGTATTTCAAAGAGAAGCAACACCACAAGACCGAGGAGAAATTCAAAAGCCTTAAAATTTCTTAGTCAAGCCAAATTAGGAGCCACTAATTGGGAGTTGAATGAGCACCCTGAAGGAGAAACTGAGGGAACGATTTCCGAAAGAAAAACAATGTTACATGAATCATATTCTACATTCAATAGGACAGAAATTTCTCCTGATGAACACGCAGAAAATTTAGAGAATATTACCAAAACATTTAAAGCTCAACGTGACTTTTTTAATGATTTTGAAAAATTGCCAGATATAGAATCATTAGCAAACAATTGGCCAATTTTGTCTATACACGAGTATCTTTTCCATCATTACGCGCTTCAAATGGGTCATTCAATTGAACAGCTTAAAAATGGATTTATTAATGACAAAGCTACAATTTTCGCATATGGAAAAGCTTTCAATTTAACGCAAGCAGAAACAGCAGATGATAGTTTTGAAATTATTAAAATAATTTTTTACTATTTCAAAGAAAGTGTACAAACTTTGATTTCAGTTTGTCCTGTAAGTATCAAATTTTTCTGTACATATTACTGATATATTTCAAATTAAATTCTAATTGTTTGACTTTTACTTATTTAGCCCGGAGAAGACTGGAAAAATGTTGCAACCGCATCGAGTGGACCCTTTATAGTCATTGTAGGTTAGTAAAAGTATCAAATATTCGACCTATATTCAATTTTATTCAGTTTAAACTAAAGATTGCTTTTATTTTCAATAGTAATACACCAATAATCAAATATTAATATTTTTTATTTCGTTCCCTTCGTATAAATTTTTTTTTTCGAAATATGGAAATTGTAAGATACTTGTCTACTATCAAATAAATATTTACTTGACTAATATGATTTTAAAGTAAATGAAATAAACTATATTTGAATAAAAAATTTCACTATTCGAAGCGAAAACTTGTTATCTATCTAGAAATCAAGGAAAAACGTTAATTTCGTTACGTAAACCCGATTCTAAGTTTTTCTTTTTTGAGCAGCGTATTAAAAAATTTTTTGTCCTGAATATTTAAAAAATATTTCTATTCTAAATTTTTTTACAGAAAATGACAATATTCTTATCTATCAATTGATGTACGATAATCTACATGTAGATTTTACTCTCGATTTTGAAGAAGCTGTAATGTGGCTCTATGCCACTTTCTTCGTTTGGAACAGAACGTACCCTTCCGGCGCCGCTTGCACTCTAGAATTTCTTCAACGGTATTGCTTGAACTTAAATCCGGAATCTGGAAGCAAATCTACGAATAGAGTTGCTGTCCTTTCAAAAGTCAACACTTTTTACAATAAGTTAAAAAAATTCTGCATCGACCCTGAAGAATAAAGTATACATTTTCCAATAATTCTACTATGATATAAGTGTTGTCTACAATCATTCTACTGTGATAAAAGTGTTGTATGTTTATAAAAGTTTATAATTTTCATTGCATAATTTACTTTTTAAAAAAAAGATTGAATATTGTTTTAAAAAAATTTGTTAATCTAAATTTTAAATGATTGATGTATCATACTTCTCTTCTCTGCATGAAACTGTTCATTTACATTTTCAGAAAAAGTATTTACAAACAATATGTTCAACTACGTTTACTAATAAGTACTGTTAAATTATAATTTCCAGATAGTCTCAAATGAAATTATAAAAAATTATCTACTGATTGAAATTTAATTTCTAAAGCTGTTAAATTGTAAAAAGTCAGTAAATAATTAATTTAAAATTTAAGCTAATAACTATCTTTAAAATCTAAAAATATAATTTATTCGAAAAGCATTATATCCAAAAGAAATTGTCAACAGACGTTTAAATTGCTTTATTGTAGCGTTTTATTGTAGAGTCTGCGTTTTGAAAAAAGTCTGATATTTGTTTAAAAAAATTAAGGAATCTAAATTTTAAATGTCTGATGTATCATACTTCTCGTTTCTACATAAGTCTCTACATTACGAAGTTAAAGTTCACAACGTTGATTAACGAACAAAATTTATTTAATACATTGAAATATTATTTTTAATTGAAATTTAATTGTAAAATTATAATTATTATTGTAAATATTTTTGTGCAATTTACTTAGTGAACAATTTTTTTCGTTCATCAACGTTGTGGACTTTAACTTGATGATCATTAACATTTTCAGAAAAAGTGATACAATATGTTCAACTACGTTTATTAATAAGTACTGTTAAATTATAATTTACAGATAGTCTCAAATGAAATTTAAAAAAGTTATCTACTGATTGAAATTTAATTTCTAAAGCTGTTGAATTGTAAAAAGTAGGTAAATAATTAATTTAAATTTTAAGCAAATAACTATCTTTAAAATCTAAAAATAAAATTTATTCGAAAAGCATTATATCCAAAAGAAATTGTCAACAGACGTTTAAATTGCTTTATTGTAGCGTTTTATTGTAGAGTCTGCGTTTTGAAAAAAGTCTGATATTTGTTTAAAAAAATTAAGGAATCTAAATTTTAAATGTCTGATGTATCATACTTCTCGTTTCTACATAAGTCTCTACATTACGAAGTTAAAGTTCACAACGTTGATTAACGAACAAAATTTATTTAATACATTGAAATATTATTTTTAATTGAAATTTAATTGTAAAATTATAATTATTATTGTAAATATTTTTGTGCAATTTACTTAGTGAACAATTTTTTTCGTTCATCAACGTTGTGGACTTCAACTTGATGATCATTAACATTTTCAGAAAAAGTGATACAATATGTTCAACTACGTTTATTAATAAGTACTGTTAAATTATAATTTCCAGATTACGTTCATGTAAATTTTCAATTAATTAATTAATTAATAAAATAGAAAATAAAAGAAAACCTTGTTTATTGAATATTTAAAAAAATTATTTTTTTGAAACTTTAAATTTCCCGCTTGATATATGCCAAAAATGCTTAGCATTATGCGCATGCGCTATTATTCAATACATTTTTTACACACTTTCAGTAAATTTCAATGAATTTTTGACAATTACAGTTGCAAATTAATTTTCAACAACTCTGTGTGGAGAATTCATAAAGAATTGGAATTTTACATATTTGAAGCAAATTTCATACGACGGTCCGTTGTAATTTTATGTCAATCGTGGTACGATTGAAATTTCAATAAGGATTTCTTACAGTGTACTCATTTTTATTAAAAAAAACTATTAACACATTTTGTAATAAACGTTAATAATTAAAATATAGCATTTACAAATAAATAAGTAATTATTAACCTAAAAAATTATTAAATACGCTTACTAATTCATTTAGTAAAAGAATTGGCACTATTTTATAAGTCAAAAGGGTCAAAAGTGACTATTGCGGAATTAAATTTTGACATTGTTTGGCAAATTTAAGGTTATATTTCTTAATTCATTTGCAATCGGCAGAAAATTGCAGATTCAAATAAATCTTTCAATTGTTTAAAATGCTTATAATATGTAAATTGTCTATTCTTCATTTATCTTAACCAAAACTAGGTAATTAAAGTAAACTTACATTTTAAATGAGTTGTCTAATGATGTCCAAAACAAAGTTTACAGTGCAGAATCCAGTAACCTGCAATTTGTACGAAATAATAAGACAAAATATTAACAAAATAAGATAAAATTGTACGGAATATTTTGCTGCAGGCAATAAGTGTTAACATAAATCACTTACTCAGTTTTATAAATAATATCGTTATCACTTTCACATAACAATTAATAACTTTAAATTCGTTTACGAAATTCTTTAGATTCAATCGATTCAATGCAAGATGCAACGAGAAAAATGAGAATCTCCAAGCACAGCTCGGGAATCTTGTGTTGGGAATTTCGGCAAAGGTTTGGTCACAGTACTGTATTCTGCTTACCTTAAAGTTGTCATGGTAACGTATGAGAGAAACAGAGAAAGAGAGATAAAATCATTCATTTTCTGCCTCTCTTACTCTTGTACGTAACCATGGTAACCGATAAATAAGTAGAAAACTTTATTACGTATGAAACGTGAATCACGGGAAATTAAGGGGGGGGGGTAAAGTTAAGTCGTTGAAAAAAATGCATATTTTTAAGAATTTTTTTGGCGATACATAAAGAGTTAATTGGTTTTATCAATTTTTATATAATACTGCAACATTTGAACAATATTTTTCCAAATTTTTATAGCGAAATAGTGAGCGAGTAAATGAGAATCTTCTCAAGTGCCTCCAAAAAAAGTTGTTTTGCGGTATATGCTGTAACTCACAATAGAATCATTTAAAACAATAAAAAAAGTCAAAATGCATTTGTTAAAGGAGATGTTCTTTGAGGTAACCCTGGGAGGATTTTTATTATTTTTTTATTTTTCAACTTTTCGTCGTAGAACTTGGAGGCCAAAAAAACGTTGTTTTTTTTTTAAATCGGCTAATTTGTTATTGTAAAATTGGTTATCGGACAGTTAGTGTTAAGTCGTTGAATATAAGTAAATTTTTGCATAATTACACGGAGAGAAAATATATATTAAATTTTGTAAAATTATTTTACAATTTGGGAAAAAAGTGCCACAAACCGAAATATTACTAAATTTCATATTATTTCTTTCACTATTTAGTATTTTCTATGTCAAAATTTCGGATTGTGGCACTTTTTCCCCAAATTGGGAAATTCTTTTACAAAATTTAATATAACTTTCTCTCCGTGTAAAAATATGTGGATGGCAGATAATGTTTGGAATATATAAATTAGGCGTCCTTAGAAGCGTATAGAAATTTAGTTTAGAGCCAAATAATTTATTTTTAGAAAAATACAAGGAAAATATAAAGTCAAGTCACTTGTTCTAATTATCGGACACCAAAACTTTTATAAATCCAATTATCGGACCCCCATTTATCGGAGGCAAAAAAATGCCTGACCTTAAAACGATTTTCGTTCTTTTTGAATAACTTAATGTGAAACACAGTTGTTTAAAAAAAATTGTAATATTTTATAAAGTAGACTTGATTATAAGGTTTCTTCTTAATTTATGCATTTTGATAATGTATTGGATAAAGGAAAAGGTTACAGCAGTCTTCTAAATAAGGAAAAAAATATCAAATACTATTCACACAGTAGTTTATTGTAATAATAAAATAAACTCATGCCATACTCTAATATGCGCTTATGGATTAAACGTTCGATAAAAACTCTACAGATAGGTATTGCAGCATCAAGTATAGCTCTCTTTTACTTGTCTTAATATTATAATATAATATAATATTGTAGTACATAAATACACTTACTGTGCAATGTCGCAAAAAAAAGAAAAAAATTAGTTTCCATTGTTACTGTCTATTGCTGATAAAACTTAATCAGTCGGTCACAACGTAGACTTTGACTGCGATTGAACTTTTACGTAATTATTATTCTAATTAGAAATGCACTAATGGTTAAATATAATAATAAAAGAACGCTTTTTTTATTTATTACAATCCGTCCGAAGTAAACGTGCAATATTATTATATTTACGATTAAATCTATTTGTCTATTAAATTTTAGCTGTATAGTCTTAAGTGTTTATACATAATATATAATCTTTGGCCTTAAATCAGTAACTTAAAATCTAGTTATAGAATAACTATACATTTCTAGTTTAGTCGAGTAATACATTTTTTACGCAACGCAACTCTCAACATTATTCACATTGATTACATTCTGTAAATTCAACGTGCCAGCATTACAAAAATTCATCATCAAGCAACAAAACAAATTTATTCTTTAAATCGAGAATTTCTGATATTGACAAATGGTTCATTTGAAAATAAAATTAAGTTTTGCAATCACAATAAAAATAGCCTAATCCTTAAAATTTCTTAAACACATTCTTCAACTCTTTATCAACAGAAGCTTTTACATTAATAATTTTGAACCAATTCCTAACTTTAATAAGTAAAACACATTTTATTACTTATCTCATCAATTATTATTGGTTTTTATATATTAAGTTCTGTTCCAATAAGTGAATCAACATTTTGTAAATTCAAGTAAATGAAAAAATGAAGGACTAACAAAAATACAGTAAAAGTTTATTAAATTTTTAATTACTCTATAATCATTTATTTTGTTTGGCACATGTATACTGTTTTGCAAAATTGTTTGCTTTTAAAAAACTATTTACCTGTAAAATTAAATCTTTTATAAAATTCTTGTTTTTAAGTTAGGCTATTGGAATGTAATTCTACATTAGTTATATACAACCCCGTTTATAAATTATTCGGCACACTAAACTCGAGAACAATAAAAATGGAGACTATATTTCGATAATTTAGTCAAAAATATAAGAAAAAGACTATTATTCAATTTAAAATTAATTTTGCTAACAAATACAAAACTGAACTTTTCTTTTCAAATTATCTTAGTTTTTGATTAATTTATCAGTTTTTAAAGTGATTTGTTTGTGCTCGTGCTAGTGGTACCGATAATTTTTCTGATATGGACAATAAAAATATAGCATTTGAACTTGACTCTGTTGATTAGCAAAACTACTAGTTGCTATTTTGAAAAGTTTATATGACATTTCATGTCAAAGTATTGCTTCAAGTGGATTTATTTTGAATTGCTGATAGATAGTCTAGATATATGAACAAAATGTACAGTGACAATTTAAAGTTTTGATAATATTTCTTCGAACACTAAGCTAAAATATTGCTAATAAAAATGATCAGGAGTGGAATTTCTTAAACTTTTCAATTTTTACTCTTTTTTAGATATTATTTTCTAACGCTTTCTATGGTACTCTATGTAAACTAAATGAAAAAGAAAAATCACTATGATACATAAGCGGCGAAAAGAAATTCGAAAAAGAAAACAAAAGACAAGAATCACTATAATTTAATAAAAGACTATTTTTGTTAAATGAAGGTAAAAAATTCATGACCCAAACATTTAGCTTAAAAGACGTTACACGAAAAGCTCTTAGACGTCATGAAATGTAACGTGTAAATGAAATTGAGTAAATCTTTGAATCAGGAAGTCTAACACTTCATTTTAGGCAGTCTGATATTCCACAATATGCATTATATTTATGACCTAATATTTATCGAAAAAAATACATCAAAATTTAATAAATATACATAAATAATATTAAAACTTATAGCAATGTGACGCTCTCCGAAGAAAGAAGAAGCAAAAAATTGTAGGTTATGTTTGTATTTTTTAAATTAAAAATACACAAAGGGGATTGATACTCAATATAATCCACTACATCTAAAATAATTTATAAAAACTAATTTTAGTTTTATACTATTAAATAGAAACTTTTAATTAAGCTAAAAATAACACAAATATAACCTTAAAATGATTTGCTTCTCAGGTACTTTCAAGCATCGCACTCATTTTATAAAATTTTTTCTAATTGTTTCTAAGAAGAATTTTATTAAAATTTTCAAGAATTTTTTTTTATTCCAACTATTAGCGAATTTAAACTCTTGAAAATTTTTAAAAATAGAAAAAAGTAGCTTTTAGTGTCACAAATTTAAAAAAGTATCCAAATAGTAGCTAATCGGAAAAAAGTAGTAAATAGTAGGTTTTAGTAGATGAGTGCGAAGCCTGAGTCTTTTCTTCAAAGCATGTCACAAATAATGGATTAAACCAAAAAATATTCTGGTTTTTATAAAAATTGTATTTAAATGTTTTCAAAGCATTTAAACTAATGATAGTATATAAATATGTCTTCGAATGACAGATCTATCGAAAATACTTGCATCGACTTTAACACAATGGAAAATTGTCTTGTTAAGAGGCTACTTCTCTGTTGAATAATATTTCCATAATCTTATAAATAATGTAAATAAATAATAATACAATGTAAACAATATGTTTACACGAAAGAATTTAATGGCATCGAAGTGTCCCCTGTACTACTAAAGAAGCATCATGTTAGCCACAAGAAGAGTCTTTACCTAAATTTACTCATGGTCTATGTCTAATAAGATACTCCTCAAACAGTACATGAATTATATTTAAAAACTTTCCTTAAATTTAATAATCCCCTTATCTCTTAATTATCTATTAAGTTTTTAATATAAATTTAAAATTACCATAATTTCAATATTTCAAAAAGAAAGCCTTTTTATTTTTTATGAAGCAAAAATGATTCTTTCGAAGCATAAAAATAAAACTAAATACTTATTAATAAATTTATGAAAATAAAGTTTATAATTTTCCTTACATCATTAATTTTATGAAAACTCAATATATTGGAAAAAAAATTTGGCATATTAAGCAAAATGTATATTCGCTTCATTCAATTTCAAAACTATTTACAAACTAATAACAAGCAAAAAGTCAGTCCAATATGATTTTTAAACATACTATATGATTATTAATTAAAATTTCATCCCACTCGATTAATCTTTAACTTCATTTTATAATAAATCGAATTTTATTGAAGTAAGAAACACAGCAAACTACAAAAATAAAAGAAAAAAAATATTTGTCACTGATTTCTAATTTTGGTTTTCTTCACTTTCAATAGGCATATTTTTATTTTTAAAATTTGCATTTAGAAAAATATACACATAGTTTTAATTATCTGATAAGCATTATTCAAAAACTTATTCAAATTTCTTTCTAAGTATTAATAGCCATATGAGGGATAAAATATTTTTTACATATATAAAATATGTATATTGAGTGTATACAATATATACAATTATGCTTAACAAAATATCACGCAATGAAACTTAAAAACATTTTTTTCGAACGAGGAGAAAAGAAAAAGTAAGATCGCATTTCTATTCTTTTTAAATAAAGATATAAACGATCTTTCTGAAATTTAGAAAAAAGATTATTTAAAAAATCATAAAATGAAAAACGTAACCATTTCTTCTCATAGCATTTGAGAAAAATGTCAAAAAGAAAGATTCGTAACAATTAACAAGAATTTTAAATGAAAATAAGAATTCTTCGGAAGCAGGTATTATGCAAAGGGGGAACAATAACTTATTAGATATTGTCGAAATTTAGATTCGATTTCGACAATTAATTTCACTAATTTTTGATTTTTCAAAGTCACTATTTAGTCGAGCCTGAAATTTGAGTTTAAGTAAATTTCACTGTAAGCCAAAAGTTATAATTTTTAGGCGCTATTTCATTTTATAGTTAATTTACAATGCGCAGTTTATGCACATTTTTCACTAAAGGTGGTCAGAATTGTCTCTCTATAAACGTTTAACATATCACAAATTTTAATTCTGCTTAAAATAAAATTATGAACGGGACGCAACAATATTCGCAATAAGTCATTAATCAGAATTTCTACTGTGCTGCAGTTTTAAATAGATTTTAACTTTTTTTTCAGAAATACTCATGTACAGGGTGTGGCAAAAGAATGGAATCCCTTAAATATTTCTTAAAATATGTATTTTAATGCAAAAACCATAATTCCTTTAATATGTTAACGAAACCACCCTATCAACCCTACAGCATAAGAGCCTTATAGCGAATTCGGTTATCTGCTCCGAGAGCGATCTTGCTCGGTATAGGAGTATAGTTTACTCTGCTCTCAAAAAGCTGTGCTCTACTCTGAGGCACTCTATGACGTCATGAACACTGGAAAAGTTCGACTGTTTTTGGAGCAGGAGCACAACATGAACTGCTATGGTGTAAAGCATACACTGCTCGTTTGGCACGAAGTTTAAATTTAATTAAACTTATATAATATAATGTAATATATAATATTTCTGATCGTTCAAAATATACTGGTGTCAAAATATTTGTTCGATTCGACCTATTACTCTCAGTTTGTTTTTCTGTTAGCTACGAAGCGGTTTGGTTTGCAAATTTTTATTTTGAAATGAGTGAGAATTCATTTTACAATTTTAAGAAAATGAGTGATAAAATTATTTTTAACAACTTTGTTTTCAATCAATGTGGAAACGTTGTGCAAAAAAATGAAAATGTTTTATGCAGAGTGACGAAAAACGGTAAGTTCCTAAATAAATTTTAACTAGTATTCTATCACTGAACAAAAATTTTGTTTACACTATTTGATATTTTGAACTACTAACAACAACAACAATAATAAAATAAGTGAAAAGGTTATTTCTTTGAGACCAAATAATTACTTTATGAGGACATTTTCAGGAATTTCAGGACTTCAAGGACCAGTAGACACCCTGTTATCAATTTTAATTGCGCTATGTATTGTTATTTATTGTTTTTTCCCTTCCCTGTTAAGTCAAATAAATTTTTCTTAACGTACGAAATTCATGATATTTTATATTATATTTTTCAGTTAATGATTGAGGATAAAAGACGTTAACATTTTGGAACAACAGAAAAAGAAGAAGAAGGCAGAGGACAGAAACGATTGGCGAACAACTTCTCCACTTTGGACTAAATATTAAACGATTTTGAAAAAACTCCTGCATCTAATGGAGATTTGGACGTTTTACAATTCTAGGAAAGTCGCAAAACGATGTCCCCAGAATTGTACAAATTGTCGACAATTGTTCACGCTGCTCCCATGACGCAGGTCAGCGTCAAAAGCTTGTTCTCAGGAATGAGATTTATTTTTTCAACCCTGAAAGGCAATCTGAATTCCAGTAAGTTGGAGGACATTTTAATTGCCAGAACCATTAAAAATCTTATAATTGAAGATGATAAGCTTAAAAAAACAAAAAACTGTAAAAGAGACTAGTGTAGAGCCTGCCAAGAATGTAGATTCAGAAACTAGTTCAGGAAGCAATGCAGAATTAATAGAATACGAGAGAATGGAGACTGATGTATCGAATAAATAAATCAGGAAATATTATATTTTTAAACTTTGATATGTGATTAATTGTACGCAAGCAGTATATTTTAGCAGTGCAACCATTGAAGGTAAGATATATTGGTTGGCCAACCAATGAATATCAGGAATGTTAGATCCAACCATTGAAGGAAAGATGTGTTGGTGCCCACTCAGTGAAGATCAGAGATTTTAGATTCAACCATTGAAGGTAAGATATATTTGGTTGCCTAATCAATGAACGTAAAGAATATGAGATCCAACTGTTGAGGGTAAGATATACTGGTTGCCAATTGATTGGGCTACCAACACATCTTACCATCAATGGTTACATTTATTATCCCTGATCTTCATTAATTAGACTTAAAAAATATCTTTCCTTCAATGGTAGGATGCAATATGATCTTCAATATCTTACCTACAATGATTGAATCTTGAGATGTTTATAAATTCAAGTGATATAAATCACTATAAGGCTTTAAAAGAAGTTTTTCAAAATAAGTATTTTGATTTCGTAGTATATTGAGACCTTTTTGTTTATGGGTTATGCTTTTATTATTATGATTAAGGGTTGATAAGTTAATAATCAGGTAAGTTGTGAGTAGTCAGAAGAACTGTAAAGAAAGAGAACCGGGTTATCTGTTATCTGATGGGATATCTGATGGCTTCGCACGGATATGGTGAAGTTGCATAAATATGAACTTATTTAAACATATCATGGCTCATATCATAGCGTTTTTCCCAGGTCCATCAGCCCCTATATGAACTTATTCTGAAACGAAATGAAAGACTTTATGCACTGAGAGAAATTCCTGGTTTATACAACCAGATTTTAGTGGTGAAATTTGTTCTAGAGTATAGTTACCTAAAAGATATATAGGTTTGAGCAGAACGCATATACTTCTAATAATATTTGAATAAATGATATACACATAAATTTGTAGAATAATAAGTGTTGCTAATAATAAAAAATATAGCACTACGCTGATGCGCGGTTGCCAAATCTCAATGTATTGAGATTGTGTGTTACTATATACAGATACGCTGCTTTATGTGTTAGTCGGCCAGTGGAGCTCAATTTTTGTCCACTAGAGCCAACAGTAGTAAAATTACAAAACAGACAGTTTAAATGAGTACCCCTTGAAGGAATAAACGTTCTTAATGTAACGTTTAACATAGTTGTCCTAACCAGATTTAAAGATTCCAAATGTTGGGCATTTTCCAGTTCCTATAGTTACTATAAATCAAACTTTCTGGTTACTGTAACCAGGAAATTTTACGTTCAGGTAACCTATCTTTCAAGTTGCTCTAAATATAAATTTTGTGGTTAAAGACAATTTTCACTACGTTCATGTTTGCCACAACCAGGTATCGTTTTTCTAGGAACTACATTCTTGGTTACTGTTACCAATTAAACAGGTATAAAGACAGTTTTTTGTTTGCTTTGGAACTAAATTTCCAACAATCCATCCATCTAGAGAATGGACATCACGGAAGTCCCCTGCAATGGAGGCAGGTAATGGAAATAGATACATTTCATTAATAATGTAATACATACTATAATACAAATAATAAGAATTCAATAAACCGGACATCGCAGGAAATACATTATTTTTGGGTTCCAGTCGATTTTCTTATAAATATTGAATTTTAACTTTGTATTCGGACTGAAGAAAAGTATTAAATTCAAAAGCATAAAGAAAAATCGATTGGGACGCAAAACTAATGTATTTCCTGTGGGGTCCTTTGATTGAAAAAACTCAGCCTCATAATTTTAATGCACTAGAAATTCTGATTAATGACTTTTAAGGAATATCTATACGAACCGTGTAAGGTTTGTAAAAAATGTTAGCAATGTTCAAAAATATAATTTTTAATAGGGATTGTGTCGTGACAATAAAAAATAGTGTTACAAAAACGTAAGTAACTTAAAGTCAAATGAAACCATCTGTAAATTCATGACAGTTATATTTGAAAAACTATTTTTCTTGCCACTGACATTTGAATAAAATTCCTTCTATGAAAATAACCAGGTTTGAAGAAAGAAAAGAGAAGAGACTTTCAAAGTTATTAGTAGGAATTTGATCAAGTTTGTGTAACAGAATAGTTTGTATTTTTTGGTCAAAATATATACATCTGTTAGATTAGGCTTTTGAGCTAACGACTTAAGAATAGGTTTCCTTGTGGAGTAAGGAAGATTTGAAAATTTTCAGACTATCTTTGAACTCAAAGTAACAATTGTTCTTTGAGTTGACTTTGGCGAAGCGTGCCTCTCACGCATCCAATGCCTAGACGACAACGATTTTATGATTGTTGCCGTTCGGCAGAAGGACGTAATAGACACGCTTCCCCTTATCTCATTGGAACTGCGTGATATTTTCCTGATAATGATTATCTTCGAATGAACCATTTTGCTGTTCATTTCTCTCAATGACACTTTGAATTGGAACAGTACCATTACTTTGACTTAAATTAGCATTATTTGTATTATTATCCGAAGTAATATCGGTTCCAGATACATTTACCTCACTATTTCCATTGGACTGCTGTATCTGCTGGGTCTGCTGTTGTCCCGCATTCTGACTGTTGCTCGTGTTCTTGGAGCGGTGACGCATTTTATGCGAAGCGAGGTACTGCTTCACGGAGAACGCCTTATGACACATGTCGCATTTATATGGCAGGGGATCAGCACAGCCACCGATATTGTCGATCACGGCACTTGACGCGTGTGTGGTCAGATGCATCAGATAGTAATGCTTCACCACAAAGGACTTCCCGCAAGTTTCGCAAATGTAGGGACCTGAGACTCCGTGTGTCTTGCGGTGTTTGTGGAGATTGTCCTTCCGGGAGAAACTCTTGCCGCATAGTTCGCATTCGTGCATTTTTTGCCCCGTGTGGGAGACGAGGTGCCGCACCAAATGCTCCTTACGACTGAAGGCTTTCGAACAGGTGGTGCAGACGTAAGGTCTCTCGCCACTGTGGAGTTTTCGATGCTGGAATAGATGTTCTTTTCTCTTGAAAGGCTTTCCACAAACATCACAATTAAAGGCACTACCACCGTTTGCATTCACATGAACCACTTCCTCCTTTGAAGCCATCTCCGTGCCTTCGTTGATCACCAAGGAACTGCAGCTGTGCGTCTCCAGCATGCTCATTGTATTGAAAGACTTTCCGCAATCGCGACAAATCGTATCCCTCGTGTTCTGTGAAACCGCCTGCGGATTGACAGTAATTAGAGACGGCGCTTCGCTGACTGGCCTCAGCCTCAAGAATTCGGAGATCATTGAGTTCCGACCGTCTTCAACAGACGACTTCGAAAAGTCCTTGAACTCCTTGACCTCATCACGTGTCGTCTGCGTCGTAAGGGAACCATCTTTAAATCCTAAACTTAAAAATACTTCCGGCGACGCTTGCACTGTTGAAAAATTTGTATTCGCCTCGTTCTTCTGCGACAATTCAGTGGATTGGACTTTCTGTATGACTTGCTGTGTCTGTTCAGACTCTTCTTCAGCCTTGAGAATGATATTATTGTTCTGAGACTGCTGCACGTGTTGCTTCTCGATTTGATGGACGTGCCTGTGTTGCAAGTCGCGCTGCTGCTTCTGAAGGAGTTGAATTTGCTGTGTGAGTTGACCTTGTTGCTGATGGACGTGCTGACTGATTTCATTCGATTGGTTTGTTGTTTGTTGCGAAATCTGCCTAAAAGATTGCACTTGCTGTGATATTTGATTTTGATTTTGAATCTGATTTTGAATTTGTTGTATTTGGGAAGGCTGTGATTGGGGTTGCTCTGTGATTTGATTTTGACTTTGATTTTGTTGCTGGTGCGAAGAAACTTGCTGGGAAGTTTGTTGCTGATAACTGTAGTGAGTTTCTGCTGTTGCTTCTACAACAGCTGCTGCCACACCTCCTCCAGATTGCATCTGAAATGTTTATAATCATGATTTGAATGATCCGATACATATATCAATTGTAAGCAATGCCACGGTAAACTTGGACTAATTTTAAATAAAAAGACTTGTGAAATCGGATTCCTTTGTGAATGACAACACTGGTAGGCTCCCTAAGTATTTTAGAACAAAAATTAAAATAATCTACAGAGCTCTTTCTGAAAAAATAAATTTTTAATAATTGAATCATGAGCTTTGCATACTTTCAGATTGAATTTGATGTCGAATTTAAGAAACTCAAAATGACGGATCCAATATGTCCAGCAAAAGTTTACAAAATTGTCTAGATTCGCTTGAATTTTGACACTCGGGGTTTTTGTGGTCGCTGACTATGCATACTATGTCGATTTTTAAAAATTAAAATTGACAGATTTAATTTAACGTTAAAAAACAAACAAATTCAACACATCAACTAAGAAACAATAGAATCACATTTCGAAAACACAAAGAAAAGTCAGTTATTTTAACAGTGCAAACGGTGTTAAACGCATTTGCAACAAATTTTAGTTCTTGTAATGATATTTTAGATTTTCTTTATATGTTTTAACCTTTCAAAAGTGTACTATTTTAAAATAGTATATTACGATACTAGGCCAGAAAGTTGGATTTCCTGGCCGGCGTGATATATAAGGCCGAGGCGAAGCCGAGGCTTTATATATCACGCTCGCTAGGTTATCCAAATTTCTAACCGTGTGTCGTATACAATTTTTCTGTATCCCCAGCCGAAAGTACGTTAAATAATTATTGTTTGAATAATAAAATAGCTGAATAAGTTGCCCGCCCGACTTTTGCAAAGTCGAGGCGAAGTCGAGACTTAGCTGGTCGGGGCGGGCATGAAAAAAAATTATAAGTAAAAAATAATTGGAAGTAAAATTTAAAAAATAGTAAACAACAAAATTTCTTTTACAAATAAATATTTAATAATATACAAAATACATTATAATAATCGTAAGTTTCCTTTCCGTTAGCAAATTATCTGCATTCATTTGTTTGTTTTGAAAATTAAATTTTGTGGGTTAAGTATTGGCATTTTTTATATATTTTTTAATGTTAAACTTTTTATTGTGGAAAATACTTTACTTATAAAATTGTCTCGACTCTTTGGTAAAAAATCTAAAATTATCAAAAATTCGAAAAAATTCAAAAATCCGACTTTCTTAAAATTCAACGTTTTTTCTACTCTTTTATGGGATTTAGCTTCATTATTTTTGTGCTTTTGGAAAATACTTTACTTATTAAATTGTCTCGACTCTTTAGTAAAAAATCTAAAATTATCAAAAATTCGAAAAAATTCAAAAATCCGACTTTCTTAAAATTCAAAATTTTTTCCTCTCTTTTATGGGATTTAGCTTCATTATTTTTGTGCTTTTGGAAAATACTTTACTTATTAAATTGTCTCGACTCTTTGGTAAAAAATCTAAAATTATCAAAAATTCGAAAAAATTCAAAAATCCGATTTTCTTAAAATTCAACGTTTTTTCTACTCTTTTATGGGATTTAGCTTCATTATTTTTGTGCTTTTAGAAAATACTTTACTTATTAAATTGTCTGGACTCTTTGGTAAAAAATCTAAAATTATCAAAAATTCGAAAAAATTCAAAAATCCGATTTTCTTAAAATTCAACGTTTTTTCTACTCTTTTATGGGATTTAACTTCATTATTTTTGTGCTTTTGGAAAATACTTTACTTATTAAATTGTCTCGACTCTTTGGTAAAAAATCTAAAATTATCAAAAATTCGAAAAAATTCAAAAATCCGACTTTCTTAAAATTCAACATTTTTTCCTCTCTTTTATGGGATTTAGCTTCATTATTTTTGTGCTTTTGGAAAATACTTTACTTATTAAATTGTCTCGACTCTTTGGTAAAAAATCTAAAATTATCAAAAATTCGAAAAAATTCAAAAATCCGATTTTCTTAAAATTCAACGTTTTTTCTACTCTTTTATGGGATTTAGCTTCATTATTTTTGTGCTTTTAGAAAATACTTTACTTATTAAATTGTCTGGACTCTTTGGTAAAAAATCTAAAATTATCAAAAATTCGAAAAAATTCAAAAATCCGATTTTCTTAAAATTCAACGTTTTTTCTACTCTTTTATGGGATTTAACTTCATTATTTTTGTGCTTTTGGAAAATACTTTACTTATTAAATTGTCTCGACTCTTTGGTAAAAAATCTAAAATTATCAAAAATTCGAAAAAATTCAAAAATCCGACTTTCTTAAAATTCAACATTTTTTCCTCTCTTTTATGGGATTTAGCTTCATTATTTTTGTGCTTTTGGAAAATACTTTACTTTTTAAATTGTCTCGACTCTTTGGTAAAAAATCAAAAATATTTTTAAAAATTATCAAAAATCCAAAAAATCGAATTTCTTAAAATTCAACATTTTTTCTTCTCTTTTATGCCATTTAGCTTTATTATTATTCGAATTTTTATTCAAGAGAAAAAATGGAAAACTGAAAAAATTTATAAACTTTTAAAAATTTCAGGCCTTTCCATGATTTCCATGATTTCCAGATTCTGTAGGAACCCTGCTTTTGTCTGACTTTCTTCTAAATTATCGAATGCAGTGATTTCTGGGGTGAATTTGGTTAAGTTGTAAATTGATTAATTTCTATTTGAATTCGTTTTTTTTGAATGTAGAAAATCTGATGTTAATTTAATTCTTTTTTCGTTATGCACGGCAAAAAATATTTAGCTGGATGAACTACAGATTTCACTTTAGTAGCGAAATTTTTCAGTGCTTTAATTAATACTTTCGTTATTCTAGAGAAACTTATCGCTATTTCAAGTAAAACTTTTTTCAGTGTGTAATAATTATTATTTCTTTAAAAAGTATTTAATTTAAAATGGCTTTATAAAATAAGCAATGCAAAAGATGACCCAGATACTAATTGTAATTGTTCTAGCCATAGTTTAAGTCTAGTAATGTAAATTCTATTTAAATTGAGACCATTGAGTGAAATTATTTGAATTTTAGTTAGTTAAATCTCTTTGTTAGGTTATAATAATTATTTCTTTAAAATTTTTTAAATTGTTTAAAATAAGCAGCCATATACAACATTCCCGCGCGCTTGCGCGCGGATAGTTTTGCTAGTATAATAATAATAAATAAAAGAAAATAAGAAATTTCATGCATTATTTTGATTACTGTCAGTTTACGTCAAAACGTGAGCTCTGTAAGTAACGTGTTTGTGTGGTTGCTATGCTAACATGTACGTGTGTTGAAATTCTTGTAACCAATCAGAGCGCTCGTTGGGTCTGTCGAGCCGGCCACAAAAGTCGCTATTCCCGGAGCCAAATCAGACCGGGAAGACAGTACTTTCGGCAAAGGGATACAGAAAACTTTTTATTTATTAAATTATTTGACTCGGGATCAATGCGAAAATTTAAGTGATTATTAAAATACCCCTAAAAATTCTTATTTTTTTATTTTTCTGTAAATGTAAAACTTTTCTTAAATTAAACTTGATAACCAAAAAAAACTCGTTTTAGACACTTCACAAAACTGACAAAAATTTGATTCTATAATTTATTTACTTTTTTCTTATCCTGCAAATAAATTGAATTTCTGAAACGAATTTTATTATTAATGAAAGAATTTAAATAAATTAAGGCATTTAAATAGAATTTAAATATTTATAGAAATAATTTAATTGAGAAGAATTTTATAAAAAATTCATTTCCTTAAACTAATTTTGTGCAAATTCTAATTTAAATAATTAAATTCTGTTTGGAAATTTTATAAAAATAGTAGATATTGAAAATCATTGAATTGCGAAAAGCGTTTAAAAATAATTAAATTTTATTATTTATGAAAATTATTGAATTCTTGCGAACGATTTTATTATAGAATTTTTAAAAATAATTGAATTTCCATGAAAAAATGTATTACTTTTAAAAATAATTAAAGTCATGTGATGAATATTGTTATTTATGAAAATAATTGAACTTTGCAAAAAATTTTATTAAAACTCCTCAAAATAATTGAATTTTTGGGAATAATTTTGTTATTTATCAACAGAATTGAATTCTTTCGAAGAATTATTTATGTAAATAATTGAATTTATTAAAATCTAAAAGAATAATTGAATTATTTTTAAAAAATTCAATTAAAATTGTATTTAAAATAATTGATTTCTTCCGAACAATTTCATTAAAATATTTGAAAATAATTGAATTCCTGTGAAAAATTCGAATATTCTTGTAAATAATTAAATTGTAAAATTGTATTAAAAATAATTAAAATCCTGCGATGAATTTTATTATTTATGAAAATTATTGAATTATTAAGAAAATTTTTATTAAAATGTTTGAAAAAATTGAATTTCTGTGAAAAATTTTGTTATTTTTAAAAATAATTGAATTCTTCATAAGAATTTTACACACATTGTTTTAAATAATTGATTTTTTCGAAATATTTGAAAATATTTGGATTTTTCGATTAATTAATTAAAAATAGTATTAAAAATAATTGAAATTCTTCAATGAGTTTTAATATTTATGAAAATATCTTTTTAAAAAATTGAATTTCCATGAAAAATGTTATTATTAGTGAAAGTAATTGAATTATTGTGAAGAAAATTGAAAATATTTAAATTTCGAATATTTTTTGAGAAGTTTTTTGATTTTTAGTTTTAGCGAATTTAAAGTAGTGGAAATTCTGAAAAAACAGAAATAGTAGCTTTTAGTGGCTGAAATCTAAAAAAAGTACCCAAATAGTAGCATAACGTAGAAAAAGTAGTAAATAGTAGGTTTTAGTAGAAGAGTGCGATGCCTGACAGACCCAAAATCAAGAAACTAGGTGTATAGAATGCTTTTTTGTACATTTGTTGTATCTCAATTGTTTAAATTTCCTGGGACCTATAGTTTTTAGATTTTGGATCTTGAAGAACATTGTTTACACTTTCATTTCGTTCTATGTAGATAAATTTATTCCGTCAATTTATTGTTTTATAGCTGTTCAAAAAGTGACAAAAACATGTCATTTGGTACTTAAAATGTTAATTTGTTTGAAAACTAGAGCCAATTGAATATTTTCAATACCAGATTCAGATTCTACGTCAAAAATCCTATAAGAATCAGTTGCCACATTTTAGGCAACAAAATATTGTCGACTTGTGTAGTGTATGCAGAAAAATTTTCCTCAGTTTGAAAGATATTTTTATAACATACCTGCATGGCACATTTATACTGCTGAACTCTTGCCTGGACACCACTAATAATCTGGATATTAGCGGCATTGATATTGCTGACAAGAACAGGCTGCTGCTGCGGTTGCTGTTGCTGTTGTTGCTGCTGTTGTTGTTGTTGCTGTTGTTGTTGTTGCTGCTGCTGCTGTTGTGGTGGTGGTTGTTGCTGCTGATGTGAATTTGTTTGCTCTGGGGAAGCAATAAATTGATTGCTTGAGGTAACTGGCACTTTTTCAATAACTTTCAAAGGATCTTCTTCAATCGCAGGATCTTCTGGTGTAGGGGTTTTTTCTTTCTCCGTACTTTTTACATAAACCTTGCCTTCTTTTAAACATTCCTCACTAAAATTCATTGAGGTAAAATACGATTCCAACATTGCTTCAGCATTGACAACAGACTGACGAAATTCAGCAAAACTTTCCACTTTTCTAACACAATCATGACACACTATTTTCGGTAATGAATCCTCTTCCATCACCTGCAATATAATGATGCAAAGTTACAAAATTGTTCACAATTCTTTTATTAATTTAGTGAAAAATAATATTTTTATAATGATGCTAAAACTGCCACCACTTAATTTTTTGGAAATTAAATTTTAAAGTTAATTATTTTTTATGAAGCTGCAACTTGCATCTAGTTATCAGGACCTACATAAGTTTTTAAAATTAATTATAATCAAATGTTTATATTTATGAAAGAAGGAAAAAATATATTTAAATATTTGTAATATTGTTTTTTAAACATGATTTCATTTTATTAAATAAATTTCTTACTTCCTTTTAGCACACCTGATTAGATACTAGAAAGTTTTAATAATAAAATAGTAATATAGATTACTGTAAATTTTAATAATGCGAAATACAAATTAAAAACTTGTTATTACAAATACATAAAAATTGTTAATGTTATTTAGTTTAATTTTTAAATATTATATTCTTTTTAATTTACTTCCTAGAACTCTAAAACAACGTCAAAGTAATGATATTTTAAATCTTCTGCTGAAAGTTTACTAATTCTCATTCTCAGAATACTAGACATATACAGTTCAATGTTCTCTTCCTAGGTTAAAATATTTATCAAACTCTTGTCTCCTTTAAAAACTTCATATAAAGTTTTATTGTTTAAAAATAAAATTGTATTAATTACCTTTAAACTGTATTTTTTACTACTGAATAAAATAGTCTAGAAGTAACCTACATTAATCTGAATTTTATACCATTGTTCTTTTTCTATTTTAAAAGTTATCGTATCCCTTGATTTTCTCAATTTAGGTACTCAAGTTTTTAATTTCTTGTATTTATAACAATACTAAGATTTCTCCTATGAATCATTCATGTAAAAATTGATTAAATTCGAATACTTATTTTGTTATTTTATTAAAGCGTTGTATGACAGATTTTCTATAGCATCAGTTTTCATTTTCGTAAAACAATTGATCAAAAAAATGACAAAATTTGAGAATCTCGTTTACCTGATAAAACTTAAGAAACTATAAAATTTTTATAGAAATAAATTCAACTGTTTTGAAATATATAAAAAATTAGAGTAATAAACAAGTGAATGAAAAAAGATAACTTTAATAGTAGAATAAAAAACAAAACACGTTCTTCGACAATGATATAGAGTTTAAATGTAAATAAGATGAAACTTCTAAACATTGTTGAAAGTATAGTGTACACATAAGACGTATATGTATGACAGGTGGTTGAAATAGTTGGATAAATCTACCTGAACGTGCAAATACATGTGAATCTTCGTCTGGAGTTGTCTTCTGCGCCCTTCGTCCCGAAAAATATTCATTTTATTGCCTTCGCTATTAGTGCACAATCTGCATAACTCATAATAATTCACTCTTCGATATCCTGACATTTCTGTCGAATATGTAAACTTAGGTATCCTTTTCGTAAACGGACATAAATACTAAGGTGGACACATGAAATACAACAATTGTAAATCAGCGAAAAAGGTTATAAATGTAAATTAATTCCGAAAATCAACAACGACATTTGTTGACATCGAACCCCATATAACCGTGTTACTCTCTTTATTTGCGGCCATATGCAATAGGGAGTTCTCTAGGTTTTGAATTTAAGGTTCGACAATTTCGATGGAAGCAGAGAATTAAGGTGGATTCACATGTGAGCAGAAATCGCATACCGTCTTATTTAAGGTGCCGTCCCATGTCGACGTAAAACGTCAATTCATTGGAAAAACCATTGTTTTCTTTCTCTCTCCTATGACAGAGGCACAAGTTTGTCTCACTCAACATTTTCTTGTAGTAAAACAAACTTACGCCTCTATCATAAGAGAGAGAAAGACAAGAATGGTTTTTCCAAAAATAGTATGAACGCACCTTTAAATCAAAAGCGGAATTTAATGTGAGTGAAAAGGATAGTGCTATTGTCTATCTCTCTTTTACTCACTCTCTGACTGAGGCATAAGTTTGTCTCACTTTACATTTTCTTACTTTTTCCAAAAACGGAAAATGTAGAGTGAGACGAACTTATGTTTCTGTCATAGAAGAAAGAAAGACCCTAAGGTTGAGTCCACAATAGCACTCTTCAACGGAACGTAAACGTATCGAACAACGAACAAGTGTTATTGTGGATTCAACCTAAAGGTCTACGCACAATTGCTTCGCGAACGCAAAGCGTGAGTTAGAAAAAGACAGCGATATGATTGTTACCTTTTCTATCTCACATGCGTCTTGTTCGCGAACCTATTGACCGTTGGTCTTAAGTAATTGCATATAAGTTTACACTTTATTTATTGCATTTACACTTTCGGTAAAAATTGTCCAGAACGGAAAGTTTACATGTGAGTAAAAGAAATAGATAAACAGTCTGTCTCTCTTACTCCAATATAGATTTTCCATTCTGGACCATTTTTACAGAAGGTGTAAATGCTCCATAAATCATTAAATTATCGTAAATTACTTGGCTATTTACATCTAAATATGAAGGCGATTTTGACATTTTTAGTAAACTTTTTTTCTACCGACAGTCGTATTCGTATGAATGCACCCTTAACCGAATACGTAAAGGACAGGAGACTGAACCATCTATTTATTCTCTTCCTCGGACAGCTATTGATTTTAGACAGTACACAATCTACATATTACATAGTTCATAGTTTATATGCAATTGTAAAGTTGTTTTGAAGAGTAAATTTTCGAATACATTCATATGTGGAAAATTTGCTGAAGTGTAATTTTTGCTGTTAATTTTTAAAAAGTTTATTTATAGAAATCAATTATCAATACGAAAATGGCATCTTTAGAAGATAAATCTATTTGGGAAGATGGTGAGGTAGGTTGTGAAGAATAATTTGATTAATGAATTTTTATTGGTTATGTTAATGTTCAATGACAAGCATTAATTTTCCCTTTATTTAGTGACTATGACATTTAATAATATATTTTTCTATTTTCTTCTTCTTTTCAAAGAAAAAGAGAGGAAAATATTCTTTTCTTTATTTCACATAGTATAATTAGAATTCTTATTTTGTTTTTAACATAATTGACATGTTTTATAGTTAAAAATGTTTATTTCAGTTTTCAGTAAAAAAACAAGTGTAAATTAGTAAACATTGCGACAAATATAGTTAAAATTTATTTTGGTTTTTGTTAAAAACAAAAAAGATGAGTATTGTAGTAAGAAACTTTTTGACCTTGATGAATTTTAAACTTGATATTTATTTATTAAAATACAATTTTGTTTTCTAAAATATTATCTCCAAGAAGATTATTGATATTTAGCTCTTCTGTATAGTGCAATTATTAAAGTAATTAGTAAACATTGGAATAAAATATTTTTAGAATTGTACTTTTTAAAAAAACAAATGCTTTTTTTCAAAAGTGAAAGATTTTCTATTTTATGAAAATTACTTTAGAATAGTGGCACCGCAGTGAAAGAACATTTAAGAAAATGTATTCTTGAATTTCGTTTTAAACATATACGCAAAATCGGCAAATGACAAGTAAGGGAATTTTATCAAAAGTAGTGGAAAAATTCTAAAATTTCTAAAATTAATAAGAAAATTCTGAATTTTATGTTGTCCAACGTAACAAGACTTAAAAAAAAGGAAATATTCAATTTAATTTTAAATTCTTCCAATTTCTAACAGTGATTGAACTTTAAAAATTTAAAATGGAATTTATTTTAAATAATTTTATTTAAACATTCAAAAAATAATTGAATTTTATAAAAAGTTACGCTTTAAATTTTTTAAAATAATTTTATGAATAACTAAGAAAAATGCCTATTTAATTTATTAAAATTATGTAAATTACAACTTTTTTTATTTTCAAAAATCATATTCAATTTTTGAATATTTTCAGTTACAAAATTTTAAAAAGTTTAACTTAATGGTTTTTGGAGTCGTTGATTACGAATCTGGTATCAGATTTCCAAAATTCAAAATAGCGGATCCAATATGGCGGACAATAAAACTAAAAAGTTGATTATTTTTTTATGAAACTTAGTACAGAAAGGATTTTGGGGTCGCTGATTACAAATCTGACATCAGATTTTGAATTTTGAAAATCTGATGCCAGATTTATAATCAATGACACCAAATACCCCCAAATAATAAATTTCAGGCAAATTTAAAAAAAAATTTATTTTGTCCGCCATTTTGAATTTTGAAAATCTGATGCTGTGGTTTCTTTTCATGAATTGTGAATTAAATTAATTTTGATGACTCAGATAATTGTTGGAATTCTTCTAGATATAGTTTAGGACCAGTAAAAAATGTTTTGACTAACAATTGTTAGTAAACAGAAGATAAAGTTCGCTCAAAAAATAATAGCGATTAAATATAAATTCGAAACTGACCTAGGAACCTGGGTTACTGAAATACTTTCCCACTTTTCGTAATCAATTTCTTTCCGTGTAGATTGATATTAATAAATATAATAGAAGAAATTTTATTTGTTAATAGGAAAGTCTTGGAGAAGACGTCCTGCGAATGTCAACAGATGAAATCGTTTCTCGAACTCGATTGTTAGATAATGAAATAAAAATAATGAAGAGCGAAGTAATGAGAATCTCTCACGAGTTACAAGCTCAAAATGACAAAATCAAAGAGAATACCGAAAAGATTAAGGTAAACAAAACCCTGCCATATTTGGTGTCGAACGTGATAGAATTGCTGGACGTCGATCCACAAGACATGGGCGAAGAGGACGGAGCAGTCGTGGACTTGGACGCTCAACGAAAAGGCAAGTGCGCCGTCATTAAGACTTCGACTCGACAAACATACTTTTTACCAGTGATTGGTCTCGTTGATGCGGAAACTCTGAAGCCAGGCGACCTCGTGGGTGTCAACAAAGACAGCTACCTGGTTCTAGAGACACTGCCCGCCGAATACGATGCCAGGGTGAAGGCCATGGAAGTCGACGAAAGACCCACTGAGCAGTACTCCGATATCGGTGGACTGGACAAGCAAATCCAAGAACTGATTGAAGCCGTTGTGCTCCCTATGACTCACAAGGAGAAGTTCGAGAATTTAGGTATTCAACCGCCCAAGGGAGTTCTCCTCTATGGACCACCAGGAACGGGAAAAACTCTTTTGGCTCGTGCTTGCGCAGCTCAGACAAAATCGACCTTCTTAAAACTCGCGGGACCTCAGCTCGTCCAGATGTTCATTGGAGATGGTGCAAAATTGGTCAGAGATGCGTTTTCATTGGCTAAGGAGAAAGCGCCCGCTATCATTTTTATCGATGAATTGGATGCGATTGGAACGAAGAGATTTGACTCGGAGAAAGCTGGTGACCGTGAAGTACAACGTACCATGTTGGAGCTATTGAATCAATTGGACGGCTTTAGTTCTACAGCAGATATTAAAGTGATTGCTGCGACAAACAGAGTAGATATTTTGGATCCAGCTTTACTTAGATCGGGGCGTTTGGACAGAAAAATTGAGTTCCCTCATCCGAATGAAGAAGCAAGAGCGCGCATTATGCAAATCCATTCGCGTAAGATGAACATGTCTCCAGATGTGAACTTTGAAGAATTGTCTAGGTCGACTGATGATTTCAATGGTGCGCAGTGCAAGGCAGTCTGTGTTGAAGCGGTAAGATGGAAATTAATTTTTATATATTAAAGAAAATACAATTATTAAGAGTCATAAATTTTTTACAAAGTTTTTTTAAAATTTTTTCAACATGTTTAAGGTAGTATAAAAGACAAAATTTGTTTTTAAAGGAGGCATATAAGTAGCTAGAAAACTTCAAAATGGGGGATCCAATGTGGCGGACAGAACATTTTTTTAAATTTATTCAATTAACCAAAATCTCTTCATTTTAGGGGTTTACAATGTCGCTGATTACGAATTCGGTGTTAGTTTTCAAAAATTCAAAATGGCTGATGCAATATGGCAGACTGAAAGTTAAAAAAATGTATGTCAATTGACCTAAATCTTTTCTTTTGGGATTTTGCAGTGTTGATGATTGCGAATCTGAACTTTGTATTCAAAAAGTCAGAATGTTATGATTTAAAACAAAATTTTTACTTTTGATCTCTTAGCGACCACAAAAACCCCCGAGTAACAAAATTAAGGTCAATTGAATAAATTTTAAAATTTTTGTCTTCCATATTGCATCAGCCATTTTGAATTTTTGAAGACTAACACCGAATTCGTAACTAGTGACCCCGAATACCCCCGAGTGACAAAATTAAGGTCAATTGAATAAATTTTAAAACTTGTTCGCCATATTGAATTTTTTTAAACTAACATCGAAAGCAATAGTTTTATTTAACCATTATTATTTTTCCATAAGAAGAAAATTCCATTAAGAATTTCAAAAATTTCAAATCAATTTTTTTATGTTTTATAATAAAATTGAAGATGACCGAGTGATGAAATTCTTTTATTAAATATATTAGAAAATAAAAACTTCGAATAATTACAAAACAAAATTCAATTAAACTTTTCCAAAAAAATTAATTTTACAGAATTGTTAGTTAAGGGGACCCGCACCCGAAATTTCAACTATAACAGAATATAATTGAAAAAATTTGGTATATTTTTTTTCTGACACTATTTTGATTCAGAAATAAGGTGAACAAAAAAAAAATTTCATGATTTTTTTGAAAATTAAAAAATTTTTTTTTGGATTTTTTTTTGTAACTTTTGACAAAATTAAAATTTTACAAAATCCATGCCCTTAATTGTACAGGGGTTTGTAAGGAACTCATTAAAACAAAAACCATTAAAAAATAATAAAATTTGTGAAAGAAGAAGCATTTTTTGTAAATTTATGGTATAACATTTCGATGTTATACCATAAATTTACAAAAAATTAAAATTTCACAAAATCCATGCCCTTAATTGTACAGGGGGTTGTAAGAAACTCATTAAAACAAAAACCATGAAAAAATAATATAATTTGTGAAAGAAGAAGCATTTTTTTGTAAATTTATGGTTTATAATGTTATACCATAAACTTATAAAAAATGCTTCTTCTTTCACAAATTTTATTATTTTTTAATGGTTTTTGTTTTAATGAGTTCCTTACAACCCCCTGTACAATTACAGAGGATACAATTACGGGGTGTTTTTTTACAAAAAAAATCCAAAAAAAAATTTTTTAATTTTCGAAAAAATCATGAAATTTTTTTTTTTGTTCACCTTATTTCTGAATCAAAATAGTGTCAGAAAAAAAATATACCAAATTTTTTCAATTATATTCTGTTATAGTTGAAATTTCGGGTGCGGGTCCCCTTAAAAGTATGAAAAATTCAATTTTTCAAAAATTTTATTTTGAATCTTTTTCACAATTCACGTTATTATGCTTTTAATATTCTTAAAACTGAATTCTTATAAAGAATTTAATCAATAAATTGTTAAATAATTGGAGTCTTTCGACGAATTTCAATAAAATTTTTAAGTATAATATAATAACATTTTTCGAGGAATTCGATTAAAATTGTATTAAAAATAATTGAAATTCTGCGATGAGTTTTATTATTTATGAAAATAATTAATAATGTTTGCGTAAAATATTATTAAAATTTTTGAAAACAATGGAATTTTGGAGAAGAATTTTATTAATTATAAAAATAACTGAAATTTTGAAGAGAATTAAAAAAAAAAAATTTGATCATAATTAAATTTTTCTAAAGAATTTTATTACTTTTGAAAGTAATTGAATTTCTGCAATCATTTGTAACTTCTCAAAAATTCAAGTTTTTTTTAGTGTTTTTAAATAAAACTCTTTTATAAATCCATTATTTATTATTGAATTATTTAATTTTTTCAAAAATTTAAGTTTTTAAAAATTTTTAATTAAATTTATTCAAATTAGATATTATATAAAATTAAAAATTAAAACCTTTTAAAGTTCATCTATGAGCCTCCCAATTCAAGAACTCGCCCGACGCTCGGATGAACACTCTAACGCCAGTCAAACGTTAAGAAAAGTCACAAAAATTAAAATTTGAAATTTTGATTTTTTAGAAGCACTACCTTGTAGGAAATTGAATAGCGCATCTTTTTTTCCTTTGAATTTTTTTTGTAGGATGAATATTGTCGGAAATAATGACGAAAAATGGTAAAATTTTGTTTTTCAAATTTCATTGCTTTTTAAAACATAAATCATCGTATCTTCGACAATTATTGTCGATTTGACTTCAAATTTGGTATGCAAGTCTATTTGGGTTCTGGGAAGACGATAAAATGATCAGAATGTAAAAATTTCCTAATTGTTCACTAATTTGTTAATATAAATAAAGGCTTGTCAATTTTAGGTTAACTTACCTTCGTCGACAAAAAGTCTGCGGTGAACTTTCGAATTGAAAAAACTTCCAGTGAGACATTTGTTTATTAGTATATAAGGAAGTTTTTTGGAAAATATTAGATTGATTTAGTAAAAAATGTGGAAAATATTAAGGTTTAAAGACAGCGCGGAGAGCGTGACATCGAGTCGCGGCGTGCAAATATCACTAAACACCAACTTTATAGGACGTCAGTTGTTGAATTTGTTCTTATTACCTCGGTTATTACTCAGTACTTTAAAAAAAGCATTAAATAAATTATTGGGATATAATTATAACGCTATGTTTAACATTATAACAAACATAAAAATTCTATAAATAATAAAGAACTAGCAACAATTCGCGCGGCTAACTTTTTACTACATTTTATAAATAAAATTAGCAATTTTAAAAATAATAGAATTTGAAAAATTTCTAATTTAAACTTTTGTTGAAAACACTAAAAAAATTCAATTTTGGAGAAATTACAAATAATTGCAGAAATTCAATTATTTTCAAAAATTATTAGAAAAATTTTTGAAAATAATTGAAATTAGGACAAGAATTTCTTTGACATTTAGGAAAATAATTAAACTTTGGAAAAGAATTTTGTTATTTATAAAGATAATCGGGATTTTTACAAATTTTTTTTTCAAATTTTGTACATAGTTGAATTTTATAAGAAGAATTTCATTATTTTTTTTTTTTTTGAAAATAGTTGAATTTCTGCAGTTATTTGTAATTTCTCCAAAATTGAATTTTTTTTAGTGTTTTCAACAAAAATTTAAATTAGAAAGTTTTCAAATTCTATTAGTTTTAAAATTGCTAATTTTATTTATAAAATGTAGTAAAAAGTTAGCCGCGCGAATTGTTGCTAGTTCTTTATTATTTATAGAATTTTTATGTTTGTTATAATGTTAAACATAGCGTTATAATTATATCCCAATAACTTATTTAATGCTTTTTTTAAAGTACTGAGTAATAACCGAGGTAATAAGAACAAATTCAACAACTGACGTCCTATAAAGTTGGTGTTTAGTGATATTTGCACGCCGCGACTCGATGTCGCGCTCTCCGCGCTGTCTTTAAACCTTAATATTTTCCACATTTTTTACTAAATCAATCTAATATTTTCCAAAAAACTTCCTTATATAGAGATGTCTAATGTGACGTCACCTCAGTCGGTATAGTCGCAGAAAGTAGAGCGATTATCTTCCAGGCCCCAATGTAACATTGGCTTATATGGGAGATTGCAGAAAATAATTTCTTTCTCTAAAATTGAAATAAAAATCATGATAACCAAGTGTGATTTGGATAAAGTAATGATTTTCACAACACATACGTATTTAAAACTAAGTTATAAATTTCCCAAAGTTTAAAAATTACAAAATACCAGTTCTAGCAAAACTAGCAGAAGAGAATTTCGTCTGCTAGAACTGGTATTTTTTTAATTTTTAAACTTTGGGAAATTTATAACTTAGTTTTAAATACGTATGTATTGTGAAAATTTTTACTTTATCCAAATCACATTTGGTTATCATGATTTTTACTTCAATTTTAGAGAAAGAAATTATTTTCTGCAATCTCCCATATAAGCCAATGTTACATTGGGGCCTGGGAGATAATCGCTCTACTTTCTGCGACTATACCGACAGAGGTGACGTCACATTAGACATCTCTATACTAATAAACAAATGTCTCACTGGAAGTTTTTTCAATTCGAAAGTTCACCGCAGACTTTTTGTCGACGAAGGTAAGTTAACCTAAAATTGACAAGCCTTTATTTATATTAACAAATTAGTGAACAATTAGGAAATTTTTACATTCTGATCATTTTATCGTCTTCCCAGAACCCAAATAGACTTGCATACCAAATTTGAAGTCAAATCGACAATAATTGTCGAAGATACGATGATTTATGTTTTAAAAAGCAATGAAATTTGAAAAACAAAATTTTACCATTTTTCGTCATTATTTCCGACAATATTCATCCTACAAAAAAAATTCAAAGGAAAAAAAGATGCGCTATTCAATTTCCTACAAGGTAGTGCTTCTAAAAAATCAAAATTTCAAATTTTAATTTTTGTGACTTTTCTTAACGTTTGACTGGCGTTAGAGTGTTCATCCGAGCGTCGGGCGAGTTCTTGAATTGGGAGGCTCTATTTATGAAAATTGTAAACGCCACTCTTTTAAAATTTAATTAATTTTGAAATATTTAAGTAAAATTATTCATTAAATAATTTATAAGTAATGATTTTATGATAATTTTTCAACAATTGTTATTAAAAAAGAATTATTGTCCAGAAATAGAAAAAATTTGAAGGTTTTGTATTAGAATTTGTGTTAATTTCATAATCGATTCATTATGTATAAGATGAATTTTCCATTACTAAAATTGTTGTTTTGAATTTATTTCTAGGGAATGATTGCATTAAGAAGAAACGCAACGGCAGTTACACATGAAGACTTAATGGAAGCTATTAATGAAGTGCAAGCTAAGAAGAAGGCGAATCTTAATTACTATGCTTAAATAATTTAAGAAAATGTTTAAGACAATGTCAGCATCGTTTTCTATACAAGGGAATTAATAATTGCTAATAAAGTATGTTATGTGAGCGTATATTTAAGAATAAACAAAATTATTTGTAGTACATTTTCAAATGTTTTCTTTTTAAACTTTGTTCCAGATAAATACAATCACTTAGGATTCGTTATTTACTTTTATTTCCTTATTAATTTTACTTAACAAATAGCTCCTTAATATAGTCCCTCTCATTATTCATTTTTTTTAGAAATTTTAGTCCAATGTTATTTACTAATTCTACGTAAATTACTTCTAACGTCTCCTGTGACTCCTCTTTTTGATTCTGAAAAGGAAAATTGAAAAATTAAATTTATTTAAATGGACTTGATCGAATTTGTCAATTATTTTATATACGGAAAATATGACTTCAATTTTAAGAAAGTTATCTAAAAAATGCTCTTATTACTAGAAAACAACAAGAGTCTATAAGGGATTGGAAAATAAAAGTAACGTTAATTAAAGAAACTTACTTTTTGGGACCTTTAACGAAGCACCAGTCGACTGAAATGGCTTGACCCAAAATTTCTTTGCCATTAAGTTCCTCTTTTGCAGCTTGAGCTTCTTTAAATGTTTCGTATTCCACCAGAGCATAACCTTTAAGAAATCCAGTTCTTCTGTCCAAATTTAAATGTAAATTTTTTATCGTTCCAAATTCGGAAAATTTATCATGAATGTCGTCTTCCTGAGCTTCTTCATGAACAGAATTAATGAATAAAATCCATCCTTCAACCGCTAAAAAAAAGTGGTAAATTATTTTAAGTAATAATGTTGAAGAATACTTATTTTTAATAATAATAATAAATAAATTTGTGCTAAAAATATCAAGGAAAAAAGAAACATGAAAAATTATATTATCCAATTACAAATTATAAAACCATAAAATTAATTATTTTTTTAGAAAATATTTTCAATTTTAAAATTAATGAATTAAAAATTATCAAATTTTCAATTTTTGAAGAATTTATTTGAATTTTTTGTAAATAATGGAGTATTTTTAATAATTTTAATTAGAAATTTTGAAAATAATTGAATTTTATGAACAATTTCTTTCAAGTTTTTTAAAAAATCGTGTTTGTTAGTAATTGAAATTAAACATTTAGTTATTGAATTTTATTAAAATTTTAGAAAATAATTGAATTATTTTGAAAAATTTTATAATGAATAATTAAGAAAAAAATTGAAATCTTTCGTGAAATTTTTTTGAAAATACATAATTGAATTTTTGCAAAGCTGAAAAGTTGACGTAATCTCTTCTATTAGGTGTCATTTTTTTCATAATTTTATTAGCTTTTAGGAAAAAAATAGAGAACATTTTTATTCTTTTTTTTTCTACGCTTAACGCTTTATACACTATAATGAAAAAAGGGGCTCCATTCAATTATGAACGGTAGTGTAAACAAAATAAATTGGTAATATTTCTTACATCTTTGTGGTCCCGGCTCGTCGTCGTTGTCTTCAACAACGTTCATTGATTCGTAATGTCCCACATCGTCTCGAACGGAAACAAGCTCTGAACCATGGCCTCTGCCCTTCCTTTTCTTTGCTTTTTCCTTAAGCCTGGCAATTCCTTCTAAATAATTAAAAACAGATAGAATTTAGTAATTAACATTCTTAAAAATTAATAATTATTATTTAACTTTAATTTACACTTAGTCATATACGGAGAGAGAATATGTATTAAATTTAGTAAAAGTATTTTACAAATTGAGGAAAAAGTTCGACAAAGCGGAATTTTTATGTAAAAAATACTAAACTTTAAAAAACTTTTATGAAATTTAACATAATTTCTATTTTCAAAAAATTAATAAGTATTCAATTAAAGTAGAAAACAAAAATCAATTAAGCTTTCTGACATTTAAACTCTATGTTAAGTTTAAAAACTGAACTTTTAACTTCATTGGGCCAAAAATAATAATGTTTATTATTATAGATGGATGAGGAATTTTTTAAACGAATTTTAAATGGAAGCAGTAATTTAAAAACTTACGATCTCCTTCATCATCAACTTCGAACTCTTCTGCATTGTCAATGTCTAAAACATCTGCCATTGTTAAATATTTTTTAGCGATTCTATTACTTAAACTTTTTAAGTAAAACTGAGAATATTTTAGTATCAGCACAATTTTTGGTTAACAAATGTTTGCCGTGTGCTTTCAGGGATGAGAAGCTATATTTCAGTGATCGCGCATAGACGCGTCACTTCATTATGTTACTTCTACAATGAATTGCAATGTTATGAAGCGGTCACAGCTCTGTAGCGAAAGAAAGTGTAGGAGAAAGCGTAAAACCGAAAGCAGAATATTATGAGTAAAAGAAAGATAGTCGATAGCATTATCCTTTTCACTTTCATAATAAAATTCTGCTTTTCGACCGTAAACCCACTGTCCACCCATGTCACACATTGTCCCATACATTAGCGCCATTTTTTCTATAGGTCGTCACAAAAACCTTTTTTGAAAAAAAGGATTTTACTATTGTTTGTCTAAACGTGGTTTTTTACCATTTTATGATTTCTTTTAAGGCCAACGCAGAATAGATCTGTAACCGGAACCGCAATCGTAAGCGTAACCGTAAGAATCAGTTAAGAGAAGGATAAACAATATACCTATCCTTCTTTAACTCATTCTTACGGTTACGCTTACGATTGCGGTTCCGGTTACAGATCTATTCTGCGTTGGCCTTTATCGTTTATGAAGAGTTTAAAGAAATAGTGACAGACCTATTTTGAGGTTATGTCTGAATGTTGAATGTTCCATGTTTATTTATTTTTGACTTTTATTTTATTTTATTTATTTTTTTTGACGTTTTGTTCCGTTTTTTTCTGATGAGGATGCAGAATACTGCATCGAAGCGCGTCAAAATTTTGATGTAATTTAAATAAAGTTTAAAGCCATTAGGCCACAAGAAAGAAGGAAATCTTTACTTTATTATACTTGGCTTAAAATGAAAAATGAGTTATACACTCCATATACTATAATAAATTAATATTAATATATATTAATATCATAAAATCATTTATTAAATTGTTAATATTAATTAATTATAATATTAATTAAAATCTATGAACTTGAATATAATAAAATTTATTTACTTGAGAAAGTTAATTTAAGGTCTAATTGTATATAGCCCTTTTCTAATCTACAGGTGATGAAACTGCACCTGTGAACTAAATATCAAATGTCACTATTATAATACATATATTTTAAGATAAGGCTCATCGCAATGTCAAGATTCTCCTAAAATTGACACTTTGTCTTTAAACAAATAAAAGTTGTAGATGTAGCAAAGTGTTTTCTTCTTAAACCAAAATCACATTTCTATTATGCGAAAAAACGAAAAAATAATTTACACAAAATTACTTTTATAAAAAAAGAATTTTATATGACAAAATTTCACAAAATGGGCTGCTATTGTTATTAAAAAACATTAAATGTAAATGTATGTCTACCGAAGAATAGAAAAAATATTTTTTTTTATAAAAGTTATTGCAAAATGAATTTTTTTGCAACTTTTTAAACAAAACTTTATTTCTCCTAAATGAACCAAGCGAAATATTTTTTTGGATTCAAAATAAAAACATCAAACAAATAATTTCTTTTAATATTGTTGGCTTTTTCTTTGTTTAAAAAAATTTTTCTTTAGATTAATGTATCCAATTATAAATAAAAAAATTTCTTTAATTCAAAACATAAAAATTATTTTTTTTTGTGGAAAGACAAATTTTTTCAATTCAAATAAACGTCTTTAATTTAAAGCAATGATTTAAAAGAAAAATTAAACGAAATTTTTGTTAAGTAAAATTAATTGATAAAATATTTATTTGACCTATTATTTGTCAATAATATTCAATGACACAGGTGTACACCTAAGGTTGTCAGACCATATAAAAAGAGAAGATTCTATAAAGAATTATCACTAAACCATACAAGACATAATAAAGTTGTTCTTTGAGCATTTTAGTTCTCTATTTCGAAAATGGCACAACTTCTAATGAGTAAGTTAAAATTCAAAAAAAAATTATATATTGTACGAGTTTCTAAATTATAATAAATGAATATCTTCGAATAAGAAATTACAATAATTTTTAATGAAAAGCTATTTTAATACTTAATAAAAAATCAAGAATTTTTAAGAAAAAATTTGGTCCTCAATTAAGTCATCTAAAACATTCCTAATTTTTTAACTAGGTATATATAATTATTTTATTGTTTGCCAATAAAAATTCTGACATAAAATATTACTCCATTTTTTCAGTCTTGGTTGTTGTTTTCTGCACTGCCGCTGTTCAATCGAAAATCTTCAGAACTTGTGAAAATAATAAATTCACTCCTACTGATGTTAGAATTAGAGGATGCAATAAATCTCCTTGCCTGATACCCAGAGGCAAGAAACTGAATTTCGAATTCGATTTCGCTGCTCGTAAGTAATTATTCTTTTCTTACAGTTATTCACTTCTTACGATTTCTTCGTTTTAGACAGATAGAAAAATAACAATAAAATATTTTTCAGCTGAAGCAACGACTACTTTAAAGCCGAAAATGACTATTATTGTTGGTAAAAAGAAAATTAACTATGATTTTGATGACAAAAATTCATGCGACAATTTAATAAGTGGCAAGTGTCCTTTGAAGAAAAGTGACAAAGCAACATATTCTTTAGAAACTTTGTTACCTAAAAAGACTCCTCTAATTAAAGCTGCTATTCAGTTGGAATTTTTAGACGATAAGGGAAAATCATTAACTTGCGGAGTAGTTGACGTAAAAGTAGTGCGAAAATAGCGGACATTATTTTTGTGATATAATTGTTTTGTAATCAACAAAACACAGTTTTGTATTAGTACAAACCTACATTTACTGTATTATATTTATATTTATTTATTTATTTAAAACTAATATCGTGATATCGAATGTAATATATAAGTTGATTATCTTGTAATGTGTTATGAGAATAAATATGTAATTTTTCTTTAAAAATTTTAAGATGTTTACTTTTCCTTTGCTCCATGTTTTTCCCCAAAAATTAATTTCATATTTTTTTTGTGTTTTCTTCTATAAAATTGCGTAACTTGCGTAATTTTCAACCTTTTTTATTGCTATTTTATGAAAAATATATGCAAAATAAAAAATAATGAAAAAAAGAATAAAAATTAATTTTTTCAAAAAAATTAAAAAATTTTTTCTTTAAAAGGCCATCTTTTTTCTCTCCAAATTTTTAGGATTTATTCGTACTCATGTGTACTATTTAACATAAAAATGTCATTTGATATTTTTTTGTTTATGAGAAAAAAAATTATTTTCCAAATTTTTTACTAAAAATTCTAAAATTTCGCAACTTTTCAGGTTTTTCTATACTTGTACCTGTATGTTTTAATTTTTAACATTATTTTGAAAAATCTTAGCAAATGTAAAGCAAATAATTAACAATGATATATGTATATATAACTTTAAAAAAAAGCAATGTTTTAAAAAAGACAAGATTTTTCAAAATGATGGTATTTTAATGGTAAGTGTAGTACACATCAGTACAAATGAATCGTGGAAATTTGGAGAGAAAAAAATTGCATTTTTGAGAATTAAAATTTTTTTTTTTTTGAAAAATTGAATTTTTATTCTTGTTTTTCATTATTTTTTATTTTGCGTAATTTTTCATAAAAGAATATAAAAAAAGGGAAAAAACGAGCCCAAGAGCAACAAAAAAGATTAAAAATTACTCAAGTTACGCGATTTTATAGAAGAAAATGCAAAAGATATGGATACGGTCTATAGAGAATGACATTTATTTATTTTTTGTTGACCAATATTATTTATGTAAACAGAAGTGCCAACACAATTTGCAAATTGTCTAATTTATAATTATTTATTCCTGACGAAGTATTTTCTTTGTTTTTTGATTTTATACCCATTTATACCTAAATTATAAAAAGCGTGACGATCTTTACAGTCATAAATAATACCCTTGTCAGTTATAAAAGTTGTGATGATTCTTGACAGAATTTTGAAGGGTTCTATTTCTTTTTAATGTTTTTGAGCTGCAATTGTAAGAAATCTGCTCAAAAAGACCAGAAATTCTGATTATTTTTTTGATGTTTTGTCATTATTTTTTTAGTAGAGGCTGAATGATTTAAGTATAATATTTTATTTTTAGGCAACATTGTATTTTATTTCAACTGTTTTTTTTTGTTTGTTTTTTAAATAACTTTTTCAGTCAATGTTTGAATATTGTGGGGACACTTTTTTAAAAGTCGAAATTGCAGCTGTTTTTCGAAAATCGACTAAATTTTATTTTGCCTAGTAATATGAAAAAATCTTGTAGGTACAAAATTAGATAATGAAATAAAGTTTTCAAGGCTTGTTAATGATCACGTAATCACTTTAGGTTTGCGTTTTTTTAACAATGAAAAAAAACGAATCTCGTTGTAGTTTAGGTTGAGTCCACAATAGCACCTTGAACGGAACATGCCCTTGGGACCCTATTGTAGAGAGGCCTTAATGGCACAGTAGCTCAAAGGCAGCTGTGAGAGTGCAGTCCCATGGTAGCGTTTTGCGTTGCGTTTTGTAACTAGGCTATGAGTGTGAGAGAGATGAAGATATATGTTCGCTATATTTGCACTCATGGCCTAGTTACAAAACGCAACGTAAAACGCTGCCATGGGACTGCGGCCTGACTGCACCCTAATTTACGTAAAATACTGTATGTAATTTTTCCAACGCATATAAGCTGCGCAACCTTGGCCACTACGTATAGTAAACGCACATACGCCAAAGAATATACACGCTTGTTTAGCCCTGATAATCCTGTTTTCTCTTTTGGTGTCTGATTTGAGCACGTGGATATACGCAAAAGAATTTTTATTTTAATTCTGTTATATAAAATATAATAAAACTCATGGGTAAGCCAGGTAAATATAATTTATTAAATTTATTCTTCCATTATTTCTATTTTGTTGATAATAATCATGACATATTGTTGCAATTACTTTTAATCTTAGCCGGGTACCCTAACCTATAATTTCCTTAAATTCACAATGCTTACATTTTTATTCTATTATTTTTGTGTGAAATTTAAAAAAACAATTTGTTAACTTTTTTTTATATTGATCACTGACAAGTGTTGCTTGTTATGATGCAAAAATGTATGTGCCATATTTTCTTATTGTTCCTAATCACTCAATTCTCAAGAAGGTTGTTTTTGTTTAACATGCGTTGAATACATTTAAATTAAACCAGCTAATTTAGATATTTTTCCAATAAAAAAATAAAATATAAATTCTTTATTTATTAATAAATTTAATATAAATTTCTTAATTTTCTAAATCACTAAAATTGTACAATACTATATAAAACTTCACTTCATTCTGAATCTAGAAACAATGGAACTTTTTTAAAACGTAATATCTGAATCTTGAAAATTTTATCATTTATAAATATGAAATTTTAAAAAAAGACAATAATTAATTTAGTTTTAAAATTTATCGACAGTTTTTTGGTCTGTTTTTAATATATTAAGTTTTTAAAATTTTTACTCTAATAAGTTAGCTTTTTAAATTTTACTATAATTTTATTTTAAGTGTAATTCGAATTTATTACTTTAAATTTTAAAATTAATAGTTTATTGTAAAATTATTTTAAACGAATATTTGCAAAAGAAAGCAAAACATTTTCGACAAATTTTAATAATCAATTTTATTATTATTCAACTATCACCAAAAGTTAAAATATATTTTCTTTATACAAAATATATTTGATAAAAATTCAGTTTTGAATAGTATCAATTTTTAAAAAATATTTTACATTATTTTTAAGAAAAACTTATAAAACTTATTTTTTGTTTGACAGGATTCTCGCCCGGTGGAGGTAGAGGAGGTCGAGGCGGCTTCGGTGGCGGAAGAGGCGGCGGCGATCGTGGAGGCAGAGGTGGTGGAAGGGGTGGTTTCGGTGGCCGCGGAGGAGGTGGCGGAAGAGGTGGATTCGGAGGACGCGGGGGCGGAGGAGGCACACCACGTGGTCGTGGAGGTGGCCGCGGTGGTGGAAGAGGACGAGGTGGTGGCGGTGGTGGTTTCAGAGGCGGAAAAACTGTCATCATCGAACCCCATCGTCACGAAGGTGTCTTCATCGCTAGAGGCAAAGAAGACGCGCTCGTCACTCTCAATTTAGTTCCCGGCTCAGAAGTCTATGGCGAGAAGAGAATAAGCGTCGAGGTGAGACAAATTTTCCTACTTTTGATAACAGTACTAATCTACTAAAACCTACTATTTACTACTTTGTTTACGTTATGCTATTATTTAGGTACTTTTTTCGATTTCAGCCACTAAAAGCTACTATTTCTGTTTTTTCAGAATTTCTACTTCTTTAAATTCGCTAATGCTAGAAATCCAAAAACTATTCTCGAAAATTATGATCAAATTCGATAAAACGATTTAATTATTTTAAATATCTAGTATTTTCATAAAATTTAGCAAAATAATTCAATTATTTAAAAAAAATCGACAAAATTCATCAAAAATTCAATTATGTTTATAAATAAAAAAATTTCTACAGAAATTCAATTAATTTAGAATAGCATTTTCAAAAAAATTTCGAAAAAATCAATTATTTAACAAAATTTTTATACAATTCTTCACAATAATTTAAATACTTTCACTAATAAAAACATTTTTTTTTTTAATTTTTGATAAAATTTAAAACAAGGATTCAATTATTTTCATAAATAATAAAACTCATGGAAGAATTTCCATTATTTTTAATAGTATTTTAAATTAATTAATTGAAAAATTAAATTATTTTCACAAATAAAGTTTTCCACAAGAATTCAATTATTTTAAATAAAATTTTCATAATATTTATTATATTTCATAAAAAATTAATTATTTAAAGCAATGTTTTAAAATTTTTTATGAAGAATTCAATTCTTTTCAAAAATAACAAAATTTTCACAGAAATTCAATTCTTTTCAAACATTTTAATAAAATTTTTTGCAATAATTCAAAATTGAAATTTCAATAATTGAAATTTTGTAAAATTTAATTTAAAATAAATCATTTTTTTCAAGTATTTTATTACAATTTTCAAAAATTAACTTTTAAGTAAATTTGGGAAATAAATTGAAATTTTAAAAATTTTAATGAAAAGTCTTCAAGTGTAAATTTAATAAAAATGAAAATTAATGAAAATTAGGTTGTAAAAATAATATTAAAATATTTTTGAAAAAACTAATTTTCAGAATTTTTTCATTATTCTTTTTTAAAATTCAATTAGTTTCAATATTTTCGATTATATATTTCCCAAAATTCAAATACATACAAAGAATAACATTAAAATTTTTTAGAATCATTTTTAACATTTTTAAAAAAATAATCATATTCAAAATTTCTAATCAAAATTCTTCAAAAAATTAATTAGTTTTTTTTAAATTATACAAAAATTCTTTTTAGAAATTCGACTATTTTCGAAAAATTATATTACAATTTTTATAAAAAACTAAGTCTTCGAATTTTTTTATCATAATTTTTTAAGATTTAATTAGCTTTGTACATAGCAAATTAAAATTTTTTTAAAATTTACTTTTTTAGACTTATTAAAATTTTGAAAAAATCATTTATAATTAAAATTCTTCAAAAATTTGATTATTTTTTTTTTTTTTAAACTTAATTATTTTTTGAAGATTTTATCAATAAATTTTAATTATTTTCTAAAGATTTTACCAAATTTCAATTTTTTGAACATATTTTAATTGTAGGGTGATTGTAAAAATATTGTATTTCAAAAATTATTTAGAAATATTAAATTATTTAAAAAAAATTAATTTTAAGAATTTCTATATTAAAATTTTTGAAAATATTCTACCTTAATAATCTTTTAAAAGAAAAATGGACAGTTTAAATTATTATAAAAAATTGAATTTTTCTATTGAAATAATTTAATTTTTAAAGAACATTTAGAAAATTATTAACGATTAATACAAAATAATTGATTTAGAGATGAAGTTTACTTCAAAATTGTAAATAATATATGATTTTTGAAGGGTTATCTGTTTTTAATTTTATTTCCCGTGAAAAAAGAAATAAGAAGTATTTAAATATTTATTTAGTAAAATTATTCGAGGTTTGATTAATTGAATTTATAAATCAGTGAAGAATCAGGGAAATACAAAATAAAATTTTTTTTGACATTACTGAATTAAATAAACGACTTTTTCGATTTTTTTTCTATTTTTAATCGACTAAAGCGACTTTTTTGGCTCGTTAAAGTCGATCCGAGACTTGTAAATATTTAAATTCTTTTATGAATAATAAAATTCGTTGCTGGAATTTAATTTACTATCAGGATAAGAAAGAAGTAAATAAATTTGATGAAATGTAGGAAATAGTCAGGAAAATAAAAAATATGGAATGTAATTTTTGTCAGTTTTGTAAAGTGTCTAAAACGAGTTTTTTTTTTGTTTTAAAGTTTAATTTTTCTTTAGTTACTTTTTTACGATTTTTTTTTAGTTTGAAAGCTATCTTTTGCTACTTTTTCAAAATTAATTATCGAATCCGAAGTACTTATTTAAATTGAACTTACTGAAAATTCTGACTATTGTTTTCCTTCGCATTTTCAGAGTGATAATGGAGAAAAAGTGGAATACAGAGTCTGGAATCCGTTTAGATCAAAGTTGGCAGCCGCCATCCTAGGAGGTGTCGATCAAATCCACATGCCACCGGGCAGTAAAGTTCTGTACCTCGGAGCCGCTTCAGGAACAACGGTGTCTCACGTTGCTGATGTTGTCGGACCAGTAAGTTTGAACTACGGTTTTTCATCTTCCACCTAAATAATGGATAAATGTTAATTTACTTATTCTAAAAATTATTCCTACAGGAAGGTTTGGTGTATGCAGTGGAATTTTCCCACAGATCTGGTAGAGATTTAATAAACGTAGCGAAGAAGAGGACAAATATTATTCCTATAATCGAAGATGCGAGACATCCACACAAGTACAGAATGTTAGTAGGCATGGTCGATACAGTATTCGCAGATGTGGCCCAACCAGATCAAGCAAGAATAGTGGCACTCAACTCTCAGTACTTCCTCAAGAATGGAGGACACTTTGTCATCTCCATCAAGGTTGGTTTTTGGTTTTTGGTTTTTCGAATCTCAATCCCCTCACGGAGAAAAATGTAAAGTAACTTTTACTACTTTCATAGTAAAACATTTTACTATGATTATATTTTATAATCATTTTTTAAGTTATATTTTATCTTTTACTACATCGGAGTAAATTTTACTACGTTCAAAGAATATGTTTGTAAAAAATTAATAAAATTTACTTCGAACGTAGAAAAATTTACTCCGAAAGTAGTAAAAGTTACCAGAAATGCGCAGGAGTTTCTGAAAGTTTAAGTTTTACTATAAAAGTAGTAAAAGTTACTTGATATTTTTCTCCGTGCTGTAAATTGAAAAGAGAGAGAAATAACTTGCTTCCTCAATTTTTCAGGCGAGTTGCATTGACTCCACCGCACAACCAGAAGCAGTGTTCGCTGCTGAAGTGAAGAAACTAATTAGCGATAAACTGAAACCACAAGAACAGATCACTCTTGAACCGTACGAACGAGACCACGCTGTCGTTGTTGGCTCATTTAGACCTCCAGCGAAAAAGGCTGTATGAATGATTTTCATATTACAGTGAATAAGTTCGTAAATATTAATTATTCTCTAATTGTCAATATATTTTTCCTACAAAATTGTTTTTCTACAATGCATTTGTTAAGTACTTTTTTTTATCTTACACTTCTGACCTTTTCCTTTAAGTAAGGTACTAAAATATGGCCAACAGATCTTTATATATTTGTACTTTGCGACATAATACAAAAAGTAAATGAGAATGTTGTATATTGTTACACCATTGATAATATAGTATTTTCCCAGTTATAATCAAATTAAGAGATTTCAATTTAAAAATATAACTTTAGTTTCTAACAAATTTTATCGATCTTTAAGACGATAAGTTTTGTACGGATCGTTCATTTTTTTACAGAAAAATAAATAAATTGGGGAAATAAAGTTTCCTATATTTTAGATGTATACGCTGTTTTTATTAATAACCACAATTCTTTTATTGCGTAATAAAAAATGGTTTTTTTTTACAAAAATGGAAAATTGTTGTTTTCTAAAGTTATTGTGTTTATTCTTGAAATTTAATACAAAACCTTCAAATTTTTCTATTTCTGGCAATAATTTATTTTCAAATAACGTAATTCTTGAAAAACTATCATACAATTATTGCTTATAAACTATTTAATGAATAATATTACTTAAATGTTTCAAAATTAATTGAATTTTAAGAGTTGAGTTTTCAATTTTCATAAGCAGATCAACTTTAAAAGATTTCAATTTCGAAATTTTAGAAAATTTCTATTTTGAATGAATTTAATTGGTAATAATTTTTAAGAATTTAGATTTTTTAAAAATGTTAATAATTCAAATTCTTCTGAAATTACAGTTAAATTTTTAAATATACACATATTTAATTAATTATTAAAAATAATGGATTAATAAAAGAATCTTAGTTAAAAACACTAAAAAAAATTGAAGTTTGGTTGTAAAAATTGATTGCAGAAATTTAATTATTTTCAAAAGTAATAAAATTCTATAAATTTCTTTGCAATAATTCAATTATTTTCCCAAATAATAAAATTTTTAAAGTGATTCAATTATTTTTATAAATAAAATACCTGCTAGGAATTCAATTATTTTCATAAATAATAAAATTCTTTGTAAGAATTCAATTATTTTTATTACAATTTTAATCGAATTTCTAGAAAAAAGTAATTATTCTTAAGAATTTTTATTAAAATTCGTCAAAGAATTCAATTATTTAAAAATTTGTTGATAATAGTCTTTGGCGGAATTCAATTTTAATTTAAGAAACATTATTTATTTTTGTATTCAAATAATAATTGAATTCTCATAGAATTTTCTAATAAAAATTGATTTAAAAATTAATTTTAGTTAAAATGTTGGATTATGTTCAATATTTAAAAAAATTGTCTATTATTTCTATAAACCATAAAATTCTTCTCCTAAATTAAATCATTTTCAAAATTTTAATAAAATTATTGTCAAAATTTCAATTATTTTCAATTTTCCCAAAAAATTGAAATTTTTTTTTTTTAAAATTTTGTTAAAATTCTACTCAAACATTTAATTACTTTCATAAATAAAAAAATTTTCAGAAATTGAATTATTTATAAATTTCTTCACAATAATTCAATTATTTTCATAAATAATAATAAAACTAATTGCAGAATTTCAATTATTTTTAATACAATTTTAATCGAATTCCACGAAAAATTTAATTATTCTTAAAAATTTTATTAAAATTCGTTGAAAGAATAAAATTATTTAAAATTTCGTTACTAAAATTCTTTATGCGAATTCAAGTTTAACAAATATTCAATTATTCATTTAATTATTTATTTTTTAATTTAAATAATTCAATTCTTCTAGAATTTTCTAATAAAAATTGATTTAAAAATGAATTTCAGTTAAAATTGTAAATAATATTTGAATATTAAAAATATTATATAGTGAGAATGCTGAGAAATAATTGAATTTTGAAAAAGTTTCAAATTTGAATCTTTCAAATTGTTTACTAAAAATTTTGTAGAATTAATTTTCTTTTTAAATTTGATTAAATTTTTATTTTTAAATTATTTAAAGTTTCTATTTTCTGAAATATATTTAATTAAAGAATGGCAGAATAGTCAAAATTTCTTAAAATTTTAAAATTCTCAAAGAACTTTTTCAGAAATTTTTAAAAATAATTGATTTAAAGATAAATTTTAAATAAAACTACAGATGTTTTTAAATAATTTTACAATTATAGAAATTCGAAAATAAATGTAATGGAATATTTTTTTGAGTCTCTAATTATTTTTAGATTGAATCAGAATATGATTTAGATTTTAGAATAAAATAATTATTTTAGATTTAGATCCGACCTTTTGAATTTTTGTGGATTGAAATTGAATAAATTTGAAAGTAATTGAGTAAAAACGTAAATTTATTCTTATATTTTACATTTTTTTCAAAAAAAATGAAAAATATCTGTACAAAGAAGAAAATATATTCAGGGTGGTGAAAAAAATTAAAAATTAAATTAAATTACTCTTATGACTGATAATTATGTATAGATTTGTAAAACAGAACATTTTTTTTGTCAGGGAAACGACAGAATTTTTTATTACAATTTCCACTCGCCACCCTGATATTCCATAAAAGAATTTAACTTGTTCTGAATTCTATCAAAAAAGAAAAAAACAATAATCCGTAACATTAAATAAAAATTTTATTCATTTGAATGTTCAGAAACATTTGCAAAGAACAATATTCATAATAAAGAAGAAATTAATAAAACAAGTTTAATTTATTTGACCTATTTACAATTAAATTACTCAGTTAATCATTCAATTTGCCATAAGGATACCAATTCTGATTAAAATATTACAAGGCATTCTGTGAATAAAATCCGTCTAACCATTAGGTTATTGATTCAACAGTTGGTGAACTACACTTGACGCTTTTTATCCTACATCTTTAAACCGTTACTCCAACTTCGCCAAGGATTTCCGAAAGTCTTTCGAGGTACTTATTTATCGTTGTGTATTCCTCTCGACTTCTGGAGATGAGCTGAAAAGCATTCATGTATTCCAGCTCCGAAAAGCGTGGTCCATGCTCCAAAACTGTATTGATAATTTCATCAGGTGTTTCGTAGAAAAGTTCGAAATATTGACGAGCATAATCAAGAGCCAATTCTCTAGTCATGGTTATGTTTGTCAATGTCTGCTGAAGAGTGAATACATTTCTGCACATCCGGTGTATTGCGCTGTCATCAATTTTTTCGATATATTGTGCGGAAGTAATTAAAATCTTTGATATAAGATGACCCAATCCTTCGAAAACATACTGAAAGTGAGAAAATAAATTCAATATCAATTTCAATTAAAAAAAATGTAGGTATTAAAAAAAAAGTTATTTACAATTATTAACAAAAACGATTATTTTTAAAACTTGAGAGAAGTCTTTTGAAAAAATTTAATTAATTTCAAAATTTAAATAAAAACTAAATTTTCAAATAAAATTTAAAAAAAGTGAATCTATTTTTAATAAATTTAAAGAATTTAGTCAAACAAATCTGATAAAATTCTTTAGAAGAATTCAATTTTTCAACAATATTTTAATAAACTTTAAGAATAAAATTACTAATTACAAATTTTTAACAAAATCGATTATTTGAAAAAAATTCAAAGAAATTCTTCAAAATTCAAATATTTTCAAAAGTTTTAAGGAAATGTTTGGGAATTTAATTATTTTTAAAAATGTTGATAAAAATTCTTACTTAATTTTAAGAAATAATTAATTATTCTATTAATTATTTATTTTTATATTTAAATAAGTGAATTCTTGTGGAACTTTCTAATAAAAATTGATTTAATAATGAATTTCAGTTACAATTTTAGATTAAAATTGAATATAAAAAATGCGTTATAATATAAATTTTTAGAAATAAATAAATTTCAAAAAGTTTTTAAATTATTATTTAAAATCTTAATTCCAGGGGAAAATAAATATGTATTTATATATTTATTGAACAAAAATTATTCCAGTAGAAATAATTTAATTTAAAAATTATAAAAAAATTAATCTTTTGAAAAATTTTTGCTACTTTTTGAAAATGAATTATTGAGTGCAGAACCTGTAAAAGATTTAACAGCATCATTTCATTTAAAAAAAAAGTTGAAATGAAATTCTCCTCTTACCTTTGTTTTTTTAGGATGCAGTGTTGTTTGCAGAGCCTCGTCGATTTGCTGCAAAACTCGACTGAGATCTTCAACCCGCGGATCTGCTTCTTCTGGATCTTTGATTTTGCTACACAAATGATCGTATTCTCCTCTGGGGTGTAAATAATGAAAACATTGGACTCTTACCTAACAAAAAGAAGTACAAATGAAGTTAAATTTTAATTTAATTTTCATGCAATGATTTTCATTTCACAATTTTCCTAATTTATTACCTCCAAGTGTAAGAGAAGAATACACGTATTTGCGAGCTCATCAAAGTCATTAGCCACTTGTTCCAAAGATTCAATGAGAGATTCCGAAATGTCAGGTGCAAGTGTTTGATTGTCCATTCCACCACGCGAGCGTCTTAAATCCGAAATAAAGGATCTTGTTGATGAAGAAAACCATTCAATACTTTCTTGTAAAAGAGCCAAAGTCTTTAATTGTTTTATGTCGGAAATAATTTCATGAGCATTAATTCCGCCTTCTCCTAAATTACTCGCTAAAATTTCAGCTTCCCGTAAATTGCGTTGCCTCACTTCTTCAGGGCTTTCCTCTTCTTGAGTTTCTTGGCGACGATTTCTTCTGCCAATTGGTGCAGATCGCGATTGCATTTCACTTTTTAAACTTTCCCAATTTGGCAAAGATCTAACAAAAGAAATTAATAAATTATGTTTTAATAAATATGCAAATAAAAAAATAATATGCAAATTAATAAGCTTCAGTGATATAGTTTTATATTCGGTTTCGAATTGCAAACATTTTTATGGAGATCGTACCTGATAAACCTACTGATGTCATCGTCCTTCAGCCAGGCTGCAGAACAAATTTGTTTATCTTCACCATCGGGTTGAACGATATCTCGATAGGCATTTTGACAAGTTTCTCGATAGTTATTCAAAACATTTAATGTGAGAGTGCAAAAATGTTCTCCTTGTAAAGGCAGAGCAATCATTAGTGATCGCAATTCTTCAACACATTGTTCAACTTTTACCGTACTCTGTAATTAATATATTTTTTTAAAGATAATTTCTTAATTTTAAGTTTAGAATAATTCAGGGTTGCCACAAGTCAGGGAAATCAGGGAAAAGTCAGGGATTTTGATTAAAGTACTACTGAAAAACATTGAATTTTGAAGAAGTTATAAATGATTGCATAAATTTAAGTAGTTTCAAAAATAAATTTTCAATTATTTCAATTATTCTAAAAAACTTTCCTCAATTCAATGAATTTCAAAATCTACTATTTTAATAAAATTTTTCAAAAGAATGCAATTATTTAAAAAACCGTTGATAAAATTCTAAGCAAACATCAAATTATTTTCATAAATAATAATAATTTTGTAGGAATTTAACTATTTACAAATTTTTTACAAATTTCTTTGCAATAATTCAATTATTTTCATAAATAATAAAATTTTTATACGAATTCAATTATTTTCGTAAATAATAAAATTCTTCTCAAGAATTCAATTATTTTTGAAAATTTTAATAAAATTCTTTGCAACTATTCAACTATTTTTATAAATAATAAAATTCATCGTAGGATTTCAATTATTTTTAATACAATTTCAACCGAATTCCTCGAAAAATTTAATTATTTTTAAAAATTTTTCTCAGTTCAATGAATTTCAAAACCTACTACTTAAAAAAAATTTTTCAAAACAATTTAATTATTTAAAAAAGCGTTGATAAAATTCTAAAAGCAAACATTAAATTATTTTCATAAATAATAAAAATTTTGTACGAATTCAACTGAGGAGCAAGTTTTCAAAACTTGATAAATCCATATTTTCTTATTTCGAGAAAATGAAACAAATGACTTTTCTCACATAACCACTATGACTAATTTTAAATTAAAAAATTTGTATTAATTTATTTTTATAACAATGTTTTTATATTTAGGACGTTCTGTTTTTAATTAAACTTAAACATTATCATAATTAAGTGATTAACAGGTTTTGATAATTTTTTCTAATAAAAAATATAAAAATTATAAGTCATCTTGGTTTATGTCAAAAAGTTTTTAAATTGAAAATTCGTTGTTAATAAATTTTTTTTCTAACATTTAACAGTGACAGGTCAATTTGTGAGGTCTTTAAAATATTAAATTTATGTTTATCTCAATTTTTTTAAAAATGGATTATCAGCTTTTGAAAATTTGCTCCTCAACTATTTACAAATTTTTTTATAAATTTCTTTGCAACAATTCAATTATTTTCATAAATAATAACATTTTTATACGAATTCAATTATTTTCGTATATAATAAATTTCTTCTCAAGAATTCAATTATTTTTGAAAATTTTAATAAAATTCTTTGCAAATATTCAATTATTTTCATAAATAATAAAATTCATCGTAGGATTTCATTTATTTTAATACAATTTTAACCGAATTTCTCGAAAAATTTAATTATTCCTAAAAATTTTATTAAAATTCGTCTTTAAAATTCAATTATTTGAAAATTATTAGGTATTTGAAAAATAAATTTCAGTTAAAATTTTAGATAATAATTGAATTTTAAAAGCATTATAGCATGAATTTTCAAAAATAATTAAATTTTGAAAAGGCTTGTAAATTAAAATCTTTGAAAATTTGAATTTTTCATACTTTTAACTGACAATTTTGTAGAATTAATTTTTTTGAAAAAGTTTAATTGAATTTTTTTAAAAAATTATTTCGAGTTTTCATTTTTTAAATATTTAATTGCAGAATTTCGGAATAATCGAAATTCCGTAAAATTAAATTGTAAACAAATGGATTTGAAAATTCTCAAGGAACTTTTGCAAAAATTATTAAAAATAATTGATAATTGATTATTTAATTGATTTAATTTAATTGATTATTTAGGAGAATAATTGAATTCTTGCAACAAATTTTTATTATTTTTTTTTAAATAATTGAAATCATGTGAAGAATTTTATTATTTATGAAAATAATTGAATTCTTGCAACGAATTTTTACCAAATTCTTTTTTAAATAATTGAAATCCTTTAAAGAATTGCATTAATTTATGAAAATAATTAAATTCCTGCAACGAATTTTATTACCCTTTTTTAAAATAATAGAATTCTTTTAAGAAACTTTTTTAAAGTAGTAGATTTTGAAAATATTTGAATTTCAACGAAAAATTTTAGTATTTGTGAAATGTAATTGAATTCTTGCAAAAAATTTTCGAAAATAATTCCATTTTTCGAGGAATTTATTTAAAATTGTATTAAAAATAATTGAAATCGTATATAAAAAATTTTCTTATTTATGAAAATAATTAAATTCTTACAACGAATTTTATTACATTTTTTAAATAAGTAAAGTAAAGAATGATTGAAGTTTCTAGATTAACGATTGCCAATTTATGACTAAGATATAAATTAAATGTATAAAAGTGTACCTGCAACAAGGGTCGGGCCAATCCAATACTACGCATTTGCTCCGGTGATGTCATGGCAGACCAAGCACTGGGATTTCTAATAGCTGCATCAATCGCTGTTGCTACTTGGACATGATGCCTTGCTAGGTACATTTCCTTCACGTAATCAGCAATGAAACTATTCAGCGTGCAAGGATTTCTGAAAGTATAAAATGAACAACTTAACAATAGTAAAAGTAAAATTCATTACGATTGTGGACAAAAACGGAATTGGTTTGAAATTTAAGGGTATAAAAATACCAATTCACTTTAATTCACCCCTTGTTAATGGGAAATTCAATCAATTTTTAACTCCTCATAGAAATCATTGTTTCAGTGGAAATTTGATTTACTTTTTCTATTTTTGAACTTTGAAGAATTGATTTAGTTGCAAACTTAAACTTACCCTGATGAATTTCCCAAGGCCTGTTCAATTTCCTCTATGAAATGCATCATTGGCCGAAAGATGAGAGTGACATTTTTCGGATCCGGCTCACACACAAGTCTTTTCTCATCTACTGAATGTGTATTTTCCTAGGAAGTCAAAATAAATTAATTAACTGCATGAATTTAAAAATATCTTTTCTTAATTAAAGAGGTTCTTCGGCTGCTGCTCTTGAAAAAATCGATTTTCGATAATTTTTCTTCAAATTTTGAGAAAATGTTTCTTTGAGTTCGCTTTAAATGTGGTAAAAATTTAAAAACTCTTTGCAATGCAAACGAAAAAAAATTGTTTGTATTATGTTTACACAAAATTTTTATAAACAAAAAAGACATTAAATAATAATTGAATAAATGTTGAACGACCAAATGAAATTGAATGAGACAAACACTAAACAAATCTTTGTTGTGGTTTCTTTAAGATTCCGAAAAAAATTAGTGTAACCGAAAAATCTTTATAGAATATTTTAATATTTTTGTTCACATTTGAGCGTAAACATTACAAGTTTTTGAATTTTGAATTTTTAAAATGTTACACTGAAGAAGACAAAGCAAAAGGTCAGAAAAAAGATTAAAAATTAAAGAAAATATAACAAAAGGACAAAAAATGTGTGAAACTTGAAAATAAAACTTACAGTTAATGTGAGATTACTATATTTGTGTTCCTTGAGATAACTGTTCATAAATGCAGGATGTGTGGAAGATTCGAATTTGAACAACGAGCCAGTCTTTTGTCTCGGTGGTTTTCGTTTAGCGAAATATCCATTAATATCCATCGTTTGTTCATTCAGAGAATTAGCGTTGGGAGCTTGAAGAGAGTCTTCTACCATATTCTCAACGTCTAGATATTCAGTCAACAATATCTGAAACTGCGAAAAAAAAACGTATCACTAATTTTGTTTCTCTAGTAAAAATAAAAATAATTGCAAAAGTAATCTTACCACTTCCTGAATATTGTTCCAGACATCTTTTATACTATACAATTGAACTTGTAGATTATACTTTTTATTGACATGAGAAAAACTTCGCAAGGCTGTTGAATGTGCAGTCACAACCAGTCGACATTGAACGAAAAGTGTTTGCAACAATTCAAGAAGCAACGATTGACCTTGAGATTCGGGAATACATATGCTATCATTTTCAATATTTATTTGTGGAATTATTGATGTTTTATTCCTGTGTGATTCTATAATATTTTTCGTTGTTCGCGTCACGATGCCCAACAACTCCGTTTTCATTTGTAACTTTATTGCCTGAAATACAGTGTTTAGTTGAAAGTAGATCATTTTTTAGGATTTTGTAGAATCAGACTTCGCACTCGATAATTAATTTTAAAAAAGTATCAAAAAGTAGCTTTCAAAATAAAAAAAGGAGTAAAAAAGTAGCTATCGAAAAATTAAACTTGACGACCAAAAAAAAAAAAATCATTTTAGAAACTTTACAAAACTGACAAAAATTCCATTGTATATTTTATTTTCCTGCCTTTTTCCTAATTTTTATCAAAAATATTTACTTCTTTCTTATCCTGATAATAAATTCAATTTCTGCAACGAATTTTATTATTCATCAAAGAATTTCAATATTTATAAAAATAATTTAATTCTTGCGAAAAACTTTAAATAATTAATTTTTTTCGACTATTTTTAAGCAAATTCTAATTTAAATAATGGAATTCCTGAGAAATTTTTATTATTTATGAAAAGAATTGAATTCTTATGAAAATTTTTACAAAATTTCTTTTTAAATAATTGAATTCTGTTTGGAAATTTTTTTAAAATAGTAGATATTGAAAATAATTAAATTTGCAAAAAATTCTATTAAAATTTGCAAAAAATTCTATTAAAATTTTCCAGAATAATTGAATGTCTGTGTTGCATTTTATTAAAATTTTTTTGAAAATAAATGAATCCCTGGGAAGAATTTTATAAATATTTTTAAATAATTGAGGTCTTTCGACTAATTTTATGCAAATTCTAATTTAAATAATTAAATTCCTGATAAATTTGTATTATTAATAAAAAGAATTAAATTCTTACCAAGATTTTACAAAAAATTGTTTAAATAATTGAATTCTGTTTGGAAATTTTTTTAATAAAAATTGAATGTCTGTGTGGCATTCTATTAAAGTTTTTTTTTGAATATAATAGAATTCTTGCGAACGATTTTATTATAATTTTCTAAAATAATTGAATTTCCAAAAAGAATTTATTAATTTTAAAAATAATTAAATTCTTGTGATGAATATTGTTATTTATGAAAATAATTGAATTTTGCAAAGAATTTTATTAAAATACCTTAAAATAATTGAATTTTCGTGAATAATTTTGTAATTTATCTTTAATAATTGAATTCTTTCGAAGAATTATTTATGTAAATAATTGTATTCTTGAGAAGAATTTTATTAAAATCTAAAAGAATACTTGGATTATTTCAACAAAATTTAATTAAAACTGTATTTAAAATAATTGATTTCTTTCGACCAATTTTATGAAAATAATTAAATTCCTGTGAAAAATTCAAATATTTTTGTAAATAACTGAATTCTTCCAAAGAATTTTAAAAAAACATTTTTTTAAATAATTGATTTTTTCGAGGAATTGAAATTAAATTTTTAAGAATAATTATACATTTCTCGAGCAATTCCTGTAAAATTGTATTAAAAATAATTGAAATCTTGCGATGAATTTTATTATTTATGAAAATAATTGAATAGTTAAAAAGAATTTTCTTAAAATTTTCAAAAATAATTGAATTTTTGAGAAGAATTTTATTATTTATGAAAATAAATGAATTACCATGAAAAATTATTATTATTAATGAAAGTAATTGAATTATTGTGAAGAATTGTATAAAAATTTTGTTTAATAATTGATTTTTTTTAAATTTTTTTGAAAATGTTATTCTAAATTAATTGAATTCCTGTGGAAATTTTATTATTTATGAAAAGAATTAAATTTTAAGTGAATTTTATCAATTTTGGTTTAAATAATTGAATTGTTTTACGAAAATTTCTGAAAATACTAGATATTGAAAATAATTGAATTTCGAATAGTTTTTGAAAATAATTGAATCGTTTTAAAGAATTTGATTATAATTTTTTCGAATAGTTTTTTTATTTCTAATATTAGCGAATTTAAAGCAGGTACTGGAAACTTTAAAAAACAGAAATAGTAGAAATAGTTTTAGTAGATGAGTGCAAAGACTATAGAATATAAAATTTATTGTTACAAACCTCTATTGTTTCGGGTACTTTGTTCAAAATTGCAAAACACTCGATTATGATTGCGAGAATATGTTCTGAACTTTTCTCAATTCCATTAGTCTCCTCCTCTTCAATTACGTTATCCAAGTCTTCTAAATTAGCATTACTCGCGCGCCTTGAACAAAAGGAGGAAATAGTTTAATTCTTCAGTAAAAAAAATTCTTCTTGTACAAGAAGAAGAAGAAGAAGACTCACCTGATACTTGTTCCGCCAGGGAATGGAGTTACATCAAGAAAACTTTTTTTAATTTTACTTCCCTTTGAATTTCTCAATTCGATGCCCCTCTGGAAGTCTCTGTAGGAGCCGTGCCTTTGCAAAGGCATTTCAACAGTAGAATCGTAATACAAACTTTTACTCAACTCTTCAAGCAATGTTGCATTCAATTGCTGCTTTTTAACTTCTAATTCAGTTCTCACTTCTCGAAGTGCTTCGACGCCTTCCAGAACTCCTTCTCCAGTCGATAAAGAAGACATAAGAAGCTGCGTTGCGTGTAAATAAAGTTTTTTTTCCAAGTAAACATTTAGTTGTAGGGGAACTTCTCTTAAATCACCTCTGCAAATATTGTGAGTTTTAGGAGAGGAATAAATAAAATTGACGAAAACTACTTACATGTCACTCAGAAGCTGTAAAACGTGCTTATGCTCGACACCTTCCAACCATAATTTCATTAATTCATCTCTTCGACATCCTAGTAACTGTTTACAGGCATTTAAATTCTCCTTAACTGCGTGAATCTTCTCTCTTGCGAGTGTCACTTTTTCGGATAATGAAGTAAATATCTATTGTATGGAAAATAGAATTGTATTTAAAATAAATAATACTTTTAACAATACCCTTTTTTTATTTATAGAAAAAATAGTAAATAAAATAATTACTTATTACATAATTCTTCGTAAGAATTCAATTATTTTTATAAATAGTAAATTTTTTAGCAAAAATTCAATTGTTTTCAACAAAATTTTAATAAAATTTCACAAAAGAATTCAATTACTTTCTAAAATAAAATAAATATAATTTCATGAAAGAATTCAATCATTTTTAAAATTTATTTTTAATAATATTTTTCGAAAAAATTCAATTATTTTCTAAAATTTTAATAAACCCTTGGAAACAATTCAATTATTTTAATATTCAGTAAAATTTATCGCAAGAATAAAATTTTTTTTATAAATAATAAAATTCTTCTCAGAAATTTAATTATTATCAATAAAATTTTAATAATCTTCAAAAATCAAATATTAAACTATAATTATTAACAGACACGTTCGTTTTCAAAATTAGAAAAAAATTCTTTGTTTAATTCAATTATTTTCAAAGCTTTCAATTAAAATTATTAAAAAAACAACATTATTTTAAGAAAAAACTTAAAGAAATTCCCGAAAAGAATTCAATTATTTACAAAAACTCTAATAAAATTCTTCGTAAGAATTCAATTATCTTTATAAAAAATTTAAATCTTTGGAAAATTTCAATTATTTTTATAAAATAATAAAATTCTTCGGAGGATTTCAATTATTTTCAAAAATTTTCAATTAAAATTATTAAAGAAACTCCATTAGTTTAAAAAGAAATTCAAAGAAATTCTTCAAAAGAATTTAAATTAGATTTTTCAAAAATTTTAATAAAATTCTTTGCGAGAATTCGGATTAATTATTATTTATTTTAATTTTAGTGAAAAAGTAGGTTGTGTTTATCTCAAAAAATTAGATACTGATATTGTTTCTTGTCAACCAGCTAAAAGACAAATAGTTTGCATTTTTTTTATTTTTATAATTCAGTTTCGTTTGAATCAATTATGCAAAGCGATGAATTATGAAATAAAAAATTAATTTAGAGCAATTTACAGACAAATGTCTAGTTTTATTATAAAAGATGGTCAAACCTTCATAACTTCAGTGAGATCCTGATCATGCAGTGAAACCAATTCATCTAAACGTTGATCACTTCTCTTATACTCTTTCTCAAGTTTCGCCTTTTCAACTTCTCTCTGTTCATTTGTTTCACTGGCTGATAATGCTCTGATTACTGTTATTAAGAGCCCACTCTGGAATTATCATTTATATTCATATTTAAATAATTTACTAAATACAAGTACACTGAAAATTCCGAATATTAGTCGCAAGTCTACTTTAAGAGATCAAATTATATTTTTAAAATTTTTTACCTTTCGAAGAATAATACATGTCACTATTTTAAAGTTGAAATTTGTTTACCATGAGTAATAGTTTTGACCTAACTTCGATTTGAAAAAAAAATTGTACGCATTAATTTCCAAATGTACAACTTAAAAAATATGATTATTTCTTTTAAACTAGATTCTAGACAAACTGGAAAAAATTGCAGTCGGTTTGTGTATTAAATAAACATTTTAATCATCTTAAAATTCAAAATTTTTTCTCTTCCCAAGAGTTAAAGTTGTTAATATTTTGCAATAGAAAATAAAACGAATTTGTCGATAATAATTGATATTTTATACAAAAAAAGTTTATAGGTAGATTATAAATCATATTCTATTTTCAAGTAATTTTTAAATAACTTTTCCAAGGTGACAAAATTTTTGTAAAACAATTTTTAACTAATTTTTTTCCAAGAAAAAAATATAAAGTTTTTTAAATTCAAAATAGGGATAACATTTGACTTTTATAAAAAAAAAAGTAAAACAATTTTCTAATTTTCTAAAGAATCTATTATAATTGAAAAGTAAAATTCTGTTTAGATTTACATTAAAAGTTTTCAATAGAAAACATAACCAAACATCTTCATTGAAAAATAATAACAAATGTCAGATTCTATTAAAATTAGAATTATTTGTTAGTAACATAATATTAATTGTTAGGCATAGTTATTAAAAGTAAACAAACTTTAATAATTTCTTTTAAATAAAATAAGAAACAAAATTATGTAAGTATTTAAAATGTTATATTATTTTCTTTGTAAAATATAAAATAATTACCGTCTCTTTCGAGTGTTTTATTCCTCGAGGAGGTTTCACTGGTGGCACAGATGTCATTTTTTATTTTCCAAAAATTCACTTTATAAACAAATCAAAAAATTATGATACAATTTTGCGCTTTTTTCCTGCTTATATTTTCATATTTCTGTACAAAACAAAATAAAAGTTTATTTAGAGATAAGTATAATTAGTGTATTATACAAAGTATTGCAGAAAAATATATAAACATTTGGAATTTTAACATTTTTTCTTGTTATATAGTTTTTTTACACAATATAGACAGTCAAAATAGTATGTCACATAATTATTTATATTTTTCTGGAATTATTGACAGTACAAGTTCTTTGAAGTAGTCTATCTTTCTCTCTCTTGCAAAACGCAATGGGTCAACACTCAACACACATTAAACATTGTAAACTGTACGTAAGGTAGAAAAGGACAGAATATATATCCATCCTTTTCTTTTTCATGTAAATATTAGGGTGCAATCCCACTGCTTCGTTATGTTCGCGAACCTTGAATTAGAAAAGGACAAAGATATATATTTGTGTCCTTTTCTATCTCATGCATCTCGTTCGCGTAGCAGTTGTGCTTAGGCAATTTAAAATTTAATTTGAAGTTTTTTTTAAATACGAAATTATGACATTGGAGTAACTTTTTTTCTGATTGTTTGTCGGATTCTTCCTTAAATTAAAGTTGAGACTTGAATGATGATCTATTCAAGTTTAAAATTTTGTCTGCAATTTTTAAAAACTATGCAGAAGTTGAAAAAATTGTAAAAAAAAATTTGTTGATTGCTAAAATCTTTGTGCAATTTATTCAAAATTTTTAAATGTATAATCATGTAACGTAGAATATTATAAGCTTTCGAATGGTATATTTTTAAATTTCTGACATTTTTTTTACAGAAAAATCGTAATTTAAAGATTAGTATGTTTTTGGGCCATATACGCGTGGAGCCGTACCGATATTTTCCGACGGTAGTGTAAATACAAATAATAGAAATAAGTTATTTGTATTTAATAAGCTGAACTTTGAAATTTTCTGCTTTTAAATCAACGCAGAATAGTTTCGCGAACGAGATGCATGAGATAGAAAAGGACACAAATATATCTCTGCCCTTTTCTAACTCATGCTTTGCGTTCGCGAAAAAGTGTTAAGTTGTCAATTCACGGAAATAGCATTTCACAGAAAGAAAGGACGATCAGATTTTGGGGCCAGGAGTATCGATTTCAATAGAAGGGAAATACTTAGGCCTTTTGTGTAAATTCTAAGCATTCTGAGCATATTTTCGAGGAGAGAGAATTTGCTTTCCTCCCACATGTGATGGCACCTTTATGCTTTGGCCTAAATTAGCCTAAATACATGAAACCGCGATTTGGCCGATTTGCGTGAGCATATTCCTGTTCATGCTTGTCATACACACATGTTTCCATGGAAACATACAAGTACGGCTGGAGTCCCATGACAGCGTTTTGCGTTGCGTTTTGTAACTAGGCCATGAGTGTGAGAAAGATACAGATATAGGTTTGCTCTATTTGCACTCATTGCCTAGTTACAAAACGCAACGCAAAACGCTACCATGGGACTCCAGCCTACGAGTACCAGAGCTGCCAGGTACCCTCACCAAACGCAACTGCGCTTGCGCGACAAAAATGCTTCTATTTGTAGAATAAAACTTGTCCATCTATGTATAATATAAAACGTTTTAAAAATGGGCGGTTCATTTCGCCAAGAAGATCATTTTTGTAGTGCAAGCTAAGTTGCATTTGGTAAGGGTACTTCTGATTAGAAGGTAATTTTGTAAAAGAAGAAATTGAAATTGTTAAAAAAAAGGTTTAAAATTAAAGTGAAATGTTGAATAAAGTTAAAATGTTTTGAAAAAATTAAAATTTAAAAATTACACCGTTAAACTGAAACTAAATTATAAGTAAAAAAGAGAAAAATGATTTAAATTTAAAGAAATAAATGTCTTTTACAAAATTACCTCCCCTCCTATTATTGATTATTTTAATTTATAAAAAAAAACACAAATGTGCTTTTGTTTTTATAAAAAATTTGAAAAATTCAAACAATAATCAATAAAAGAAGTAGCATGTTTTTTAATTTCTTAAAAAACCTGGTATGCCTTTTACAGCTGGTTCGGATCTCGTGAGAGATCCCCGGTATGTACAATGGCAAAAAGCCATCACCACCAGGACCAAATAATATTTTTGTTAAATTATTTCCGCAATTAAGCAGTACATTGTCCATCGTAGAAAATTGTATTTCCGGTTGTCGAGGTTCCTCCTTTTCAATGTCCTTGAAGAGATTTACTTAGTGCTGAAAAAGAGAAAATAATTACAAATTAATTAATTTTTTAATGTTTTCCATAAAAAAAACTATTTTTTAACTATAAATTTTAAAAACTTACATTTAAAAATGAATGTTGAAAGTGATGGAAAAAATTATTTCTGCAATTCTGCAGCCTCATGTTCAATGTCATCATTCTTCATCCGAAATAGATGGTGATTTTTTATGGAATCCTTTGGTATGATTTTCTCTTGAACAAGTGCAAGATTAAGAATATTACGCCCTGCATTTACATCTCTTTCCCACGTTGTTTTGCATTTCGCACAATAAGTGTATCGATGGGGACTCTTGGATATTTTAAGTGGTCTCACACAGCGACTACACATTTTTGTTGTATTAAACTCATTTACTTTCACGACTTGCAATCCCTGTTTAAAAAATTTGATAGAAATGGAAAGAAAAAAATTTCTTTCCATTTCAATCCTGTTTCTGAATCCAAAATTTTCAAAAATTACAATCAGTTTCTATCACATACTTTTAATAGAAAGTCTATCCAAATCAATACTTTGTCTATCCGAAAATTGTCCCATGTTGTCCCACTGATTTCAAAGAAAGTTCTATCAAATTCTATCAAAATTGATTATTAAAAATTGTTTCCAATCCAATAAGATTTTTTGATTTAAATTCTATCAAATCCTATATCGAAAAATGACAGAAAGTTCTTTCCTATTGTATCCAAGGTGGTTACAATTGAAAACATACGCTTTGAAAAAAAATATTTGTGGAAAAAATAATAAAAGATTCTTATGACCATTAATAACATTATATTCTTAGCACACTCCAAACATACAAACATTTTAATTAAACTGGAAGAATTAAATTAAAATTTGTACCCTATGGGAATCGAACCCCGCACCTATGACCTATCTATCTAAACGCTTAACGACCGCGGCTACCGAATCGACGTGAGAAATATTTTTCGACCTGTCTATATAAACTGCAAATTTGAAAAACGTAAGTTTATGTAAAATATTATAATTTTTGTAAGTACCCATAAAAATACAAGCAGAAATTAAAATATTTATAGAGATTTGCAATATATGCTATTATGTTAAAAATATTAATTAAATATTTAATAAATTTTTGCTTAAATGTCATTTGACCGCTTTGTAATTTTTTGTAAATATTTGCAAAAAATAACATCAAACGAAATAAAAAAATAAAAAACACAGCTCAACTGTGTTAAAAAAATTTCGTTGATTTTCTAAAATGTTAAAACTTTTATGAAAATCTGTAGTTCACAACAAAACAATAAAGGGGCGCATGATTATTCCCCAAATGTCATTTTTCCGAAATGTCATTTTATCGAACTGCACTTTTGCGAATAAGTACTTATTTTTGCGAAAAGCCAATTTTGCGAAATATCACTTTTGCGAATTGTCATTTTTTCGAAAAGCTATTTTTGCGAATTGTCATTTTTGCGAATCGTTATTTTTACGAATTGTCAATTTTCCGAAAAGTCATTTTTGCGAATCGCCATTTTTACGATTTGTCAATTTTCCGAAAAGTCATTTTTGCCAATTGTCATTTTTACGAAAAGACATTTTCGAGAAAAATCATTTTTGCGAATTGTCACTTTTGCGAATCGCCATTTTTACGAATTGTCAAATTTCCGAAAAGTCATTTTTGCGAAAATTCCTATAGTGAATCTATATATGCATACAAGCAGATTTACTATAGGAATTTTCGCAAAAATGACAATTCGCAAAAATGACTTTTCGGAAAATTGACAATTCGTAAAAATGGCGATTCGCAAAAATGACAATTCGCAAAAATAGCTTTTCGCAAAAATGACAATTTGCAAAAATGACAATTCGTAAAAATGACTTTTCGCAAAAATGACTATTCGCAAAAGTGCAGTTCGGTAAAATGACATTTGGGGAATAATCATAAAATTTGATAGAATTTGTATCCAAACCTTTTGATAGAGAAATAATGGATTTTCATGTGGAAAGAATTTGATAGATATTCAATCAAAACTCATGGATAGCAAACTATAAGAATTTCCGACTCATAGAATTTGATAGAATTTGTATCCAAATCTTGGATAGAGAAATATTAGATTTTCATTTGGAAAGAATTTGATAGATATTCAATCAAAACTCATGGATAGCAAACTATAAGAATTTCCGACTCATAGAATTTGATAGAATTCGTATCAAAATCTTGGATAGAGAAATATTAGATTTTCATTTGGAAAGAATTTGATACATATTCAATCAAAACTCATGGATAGAAAATTATAAGATTTTTCGACTCATAGAATTTGATAGAATTCGTATCCAAACTCTTGATAGTAAAATATTGAATTTTAGTATATTATTAACTTTGATAGATAATACATCAAAACTTATGATAGGAATGGATTTAATTTTCTACTTTGGATAGAAGTGGATTGGATTTTCAATATTTGATTAAATTGGATTCGAATTTCAAGGAGTGAAGGAAGAAAATTCTATCAAATCCTATCCATTTTAATAATTTTTTTAAACAGGGATTTATCTTTTCCTAATTCTTCTGATCTTTGGAAAAGAGTTTGTTGAATACGTTTCAAAGGAGCTTTAGTGTATCCCTTGATAAAATTAGGTATTTCTGCTCCACCAATAGCAACGAAACAGGGTTTCTTCCTTGTATCACCTACTATCCAATTTACAAGTTGATCAACTTGTCGTTTGTGCGCCGAATATTGATCTATTTTTAAACGCGTTACGGATCTTTTTTGATGAAGTGATTGGAAATTTTGTAAAAGATGTATTCTATATTTTGTTATGCAATGGCGATCTCGAGGATTAGTCATGCAAAAATTTTTCATCCATGGATCCTCAGCAAGTTGCTTGTAATATTTTTGCATGTCTATACCTTTTTTCTTCATTAATTCTCTTCTTCTGTAGTCGCCCATCTGCCATCTCATCATCCAACTACCAATGTAAATAGCTGAATCCTTTTTTACATTAGTGGTTGGATTAGGATCGTTTTCTCTACTGACACCAGCCAGAGTCGCCCTCGCACCAGAATCAAAACCACAAAATTTTTTGTAACTTCCAACTTTCTTCTTTGATTGCACAACATCATGTTTTGTGGGTAAATCAAAAATTACTGACACGTCCACACCATTTGTCGTTATTGTACCAGAGAATTTACCACCATTCTTTAATTTCTTTCGACCTCTTTGGATTGATTTAAAGTTGAACATTGAATTCCACCTTTCTTCATTGTTCATTTCTCTTAAGCGCTTCATTTCATCGTCCATTTTATCAACTGCTCTTTGAAGATGATTCTTATTCGTTCCTGATTTTGTTTTCTTTTTTTGTAAAATTGCCTTTTTTTTCTTTAATTTCTTGAATAAGAGTTGCCACTTGCAAATCTTTTAAAGCAGTATTTGTATAAACGACATGCTTCACGCCTAATGAAATTTGTGGAATTAATGTGAAATTCTTCTTCTTTTTATCATGAAATTCTTGTTGAATCATAATGGAAAATGGCAAAAATTTATGCCATTCTTTATCTTTTGTCAATTTTGTAAAGTCCAATTTTCTTCCATCATCATCATCATCCTTTTTCAGTAGTAAATCAATAGGGAATCCTTTCACTTGACATTTATTTTCTTGCAGCAGGAGATTTAAAGCAGCAACAGATTGTTTATAAAATGAAGGCCTTCTTTTTCGAAATTTCTTTTTTTCCTTATTCTTCTCTTTTTCTTTTCCTCATTCTTCTCTTTTTCCTTATTCTTCTCTTTTTCTTCTTCTTTTTCCTTTTTCGATTTTTTTCTTCGCCTTCTTGGCCTTTTTTTATAATAGACTTTATCGCAATGTTTGTGATATTTTTCCTGTCGAACATATCTTTCATCGCAATAGTCTGATGTATTTTTTTCTCGCATTTCATCTGGAATTTTTTTTTGAGATTTTTGAAATTCTTTTCTTTGTTCATTTTTAATGCTATTTTTAAAACTCCTAATTTTTATTTTTTCATCATTATCATTTTCGATACGGTAAACTGAACAAATTTCTTGAATTTCATCTTCTTCTTATGATTTTTTTCTTCGTCTTCAATTTCCATTAATAGCTGCAAATATCTTCTTAATCGTGATGCTGCATGCGTCGTGAAATTTGTTTTAAAGTTTCGATTCAACACTAAAGCTGCCTCCTGAATTATTGCACTTCTATATTCTCCGTCATAAAGTGGAATGTCATTCCTTAATTCTTTATATTCGTTGACCATTGTATTTATTTTTGCATCCTGTTCAGTTACTTTACGTTTCGTATTTTCTTTCTGCTTTAATGATATTAGTAATGGCAGAAATGCGGGACCATTGTTGGTCCATTTCTCCAACAATGATGGGCAATTTTCAACATTTGTTTCTTCATATAGGCCGAATAATGCCATTGTTGTTGCCTCATACATCATTGATGAAACAACCTTTGCATCTTCTTCAATTCGATTTTTAATGTTTGCTGATTTACATAATTTTCCCAAACAAACTTTTACCGTATGCTTTTCTGTTCCCATTAATTCCAATCTTCTTCTCACTTTATGATGCAACGGTTTATCAATATTTTCATTATCCAAAGTAATTGACGTTCTTTTTCTGTTTGAAGAAACACCAATTGCAGATTTCTCGACACTGTATTTCTTTCGTTTTGAAGAGGGACCAGCACCACTTTCAATTGATGAGTCAACACCTATAATTGGAAGAAATGGAAATTTTCTTAATTTTATATAGAGAGAGATTAAGAAAATATAAAAGAAGAAAAAAGAATACAAAATTTTACCTTCTCTTTTTGAAGTTGATGTTGAATGGGAAAATTTAGCTTCTTGATTTTTCGATTTTTTTACTGTTGAAGAAGTGATTTTTAAATCGAGTCCAGTTGATGACGATGATGATAATGATGTTTCTGTTGGTACACGGTAAACTGAACATGGTGACAGCTTTTCAGGAGAATCACTTGGTGCTGAAAAAGAAAAAAAGGAATTAAATAAATTAAAATTTTTAAATTGTTATTTTAATAAAATATTTTTAAAATGTACCCAGGTGAAAATGATTCATCGTACGAATCATTTTTTCCTTGGTTAATTATTAAAAACTTACATTTCAAACTTAATCTTTGACTATGAAATGAAATTTTTTTTCCGGTCCTTTACTCGAAGATAAAATTTGCTTTTCAGTCTTTCCAATCGAACTGACACACACTTCTTCGCGAGATCTGGTTGGTGCTGAAAAATGAAAAGAAGGAATCAAATAAATAAAAATTAATAATTTTTTAATTTAAATCAAATACTTGAAGAATATAATTTTAAAAAACTTACATTTTAATCTAAATCTTCCACTCATGACAAAAGTTTTCTTCTCTGCTTTTCGATGTTCTGACTCTTCTGTCTTTGGAGTTGATGACGATGAAGAAAATGTCAAATTTTCGTCAGATTTTTGTGTCTGTGAGTTACCGTAGAAGAATCTGGTAGAATGTCCTTCACGAGATTCATTTGTTGCTGAAAAAATAGAGAATAAACAAATAAATTACAATTGTTAACTTTACATGTAAATAAAAATATTTTTAAAATACATCTGTTAAACACTAACATTTTAAACTCAATCTTTCACTGGAAGTAAAAAATTGTTTCTCCGGAATTCCAGATTTCTTATTTTCAGTCTTTCCAATTGAACTGGTAGACATTTCTTCGCGAGATCTTGTTGGTGCTGAAAATTAAAAAGAAACAAAAGAATTAAAATTAAAAAATTCCTTAATTTAAATCAAATACTTGAAGAAAATAATTTTAAAAAACTCCCTGCTGGAAGTAAAGAGATACAAAGAGATTAAAAAAAGGGGATAAAAAAAGATTAGAAAATATAATAGTTTGGAGATGCAAAATGGATACTTAAAAGAGATACAATTTTTTTATCTCTTTCTATAACTTTATATTTATATATCTTTTTATCCCTTCTAATCTCTTTATATACAGTTTTAGATATAGAAATATATAGAAAAATATATAGAAAGAGATAAAAAATTGGGGATGCAAAGTGGTGAATTAAAGAAGATAGAACTTTTTAATCTCTTTCTATTCATACATTTCTGTCTTCCTCTATCCATTTTCACATCCTTTCTAATCCAAAGGAAAGTAAAAAAGGAGATACCCCTTATAGAAGAAATCGATTAATTTCAATTAAAAACTTTCTCTATTGTTGTTAATTGAGTTTCTTAATCGGCGTGTTGTTTTAATTCATTACGATTAACTATAAAAAATTTGCAAGTAAATCTTTAATACATTTTTAGAAAAGTTTCGATGCTTTGTGAGTTTAAAACTAATTTTGGTTGTCTATTACTGATAAACATTTATTGGTTAAATATATTTACAATAAACTATAAAAATATGGAAGTTATAAACTCAAACAAAAACGTACAATCGCACAGTGCATAACACACGCTTTCTGATCTACGGATCTACTGACCCGACGCCATGACACATAACAGCTGGGAAGATCGACGCATGCGCGTATAAGTTTATGAGTATGTATATAGAAAGGGATATACTATAGTAGATTAGAAGAGATAATCTTAGTATATCTCCTCAAATCCCCATATTCTTAACTATCCCTATCTCTTCTAAATAAAGTAATAGGAGATAGAATATGGGATTGAAAGAAGATTAAAAGAATAACATTCGGAAAAGAAGAATGATAAAAAGGAATAAAAAAGGTTTATAGTTTTGCAGTCTCGCATTTCTATCTTTTTCTATCTCAATAATGGGAATAATGGTAATAAATAAGTGTTAATAAGATCCTACATAAAAAGCGATGGAAGGGTATAAATAGGATATCAATAGTTATTAAGAATAGGTTATAAATGTGGAGAAAGAAGAGTATCAAGAACTTCTGTCATAAAAAGAGATAGAAGTTTATAGACAGGTTATTAAAAGGTATTGAGAATAGGTTATTAATAGGTATAAAGAATAGTGTCTATAAGGTCTAACATTGAAAGAGATACAAGGAAATAGACAGGATTTTAAAAGTAATAGAGAAAAGGTGATTGAAAGGGATAACAAAAAGTTTTAATAAGATTGTATATAAAAAGAGATAGAAGGGTTTAAAATGGCTATTAAAAGTTATTCAAAAAAGGTGATTAAAAGAAATAGCGAACAAGTTGATAAAGGTAGGAATAGAAAGGCATAAAGAAGTATAGGTAGGAGATTAAAAGTTATACATTATTCATATCTCTTTCTATATTAGCAATAGAAAGGGATTAAAAGAGAAAAGGTTTCTATCTATTTACTTCCAGCAGGGCTTACATTTTAATCTGAATATTCCACTCGGGCGAAAAGTTTTCTTCTCTGCTTTTCGAGGTTCAGCCTGCTCAGTTATTGAAGTTGTTGGTGATTGAGAAAATTTCAAATTTTCGTCAGATTTTTGTGTCTGTGAGTTACCGTAGAAGAATCTGGTAGATTGTCCTTCACGAGATTTATTTGTTGCTGAAAAAATAGAGAATAAACAAATAAATTACAATTGTTAATTTTAAATGTAAATAAAATTTTTTCAAAAAACAACTTTTAAACACAAACATTTTAAACTCAATTGTCGTTTTCTCTTCATTATGTCAATACAGTAGATACTGGTACATGAATTTCTGTAAAAAAGAAAAATTTTTTCTTAAAAAGACAAAATAATAAGGGTGCAATCTAATGGCATCGTTTTGCGTTGGGTTTTTTAATTAGGCTATTTGGGTATTTTTTTTAAATTTTAGCAACTACAAGCTACTACTTGTGTTAATATATATTTTTTTTTAGAATTTCCATTACATTAAATTCACAAATTATTTGAGATCAAGCAACTATTTACAAAAATGATAATAAAATTCTTTAAAACGAAATTCAATTAGTAGTTTAAAAAAAATCTTTGAAATTCAATTATATTGTCTTGAAATTAGAAAATAATCAATTATTTGAGAAAATCATTTTCAAAAAGATGAATTATTTAACAAAATTTTCATTCAAATAATTATAGTTTTGATAGAAATTTGAAAAAAGTCTGCATAATATAATGTAGAGAATAAATAATTTATAAAGTTTCTAAAATGAATTCTTTTAATAGTCAAGATACAAAAAGCAAAGCAAATAACGATGCCATGGGACTGCACTCGGGGACTTATTTTATCAACGATTATTTAATAAACTGTCGAATAACGTTAAAAATTAAATGTACACACGATAATTAAACGATCTATGTAACAATCGGGATTAATTGAAGAGAAAAAATTACTTATTAGTCGCTTTTTGAGTGTAACAATTTTTTAATGCCTCGTCAGAACAAGAGGTATTATTCATTATTTTAAAAACGAAATTAACCCGCGTGATATTGTTATTAATGAATAGAGAAAAGAAAACACGTATGTACATAAAATTTCAAAAAATTTAACGTTATCCGTATGCCCTAACGATGGGTCTATCGTTAAAAATTGTATTCGTTGCCGTAAAACAGCTTTAGTCTTTTCAGTATGCCTTTAAAAGGCTTTGCCGTAATACAGCTTTAGTCTTTTTAGTATGCCTTAATAAGGCTTTGCCGTAATACAGCTTTAGTCTTTTCAGTATGCCTTAATAAGGCTTTGCCGTAATACAGCTTTACATCCGTCTGCCTTAAAAAGGCTTTGCCGTAATACAGCTTTACGTCCGTCTGCCTTAAAAAGGCTTTGCCGTAATACAGCTTTACGTCCGCCTGCCTTAATAAGGCTTTGCTGTACTGCAGCTTTACGTCCGTTTGCCTTAAGAAGGCTTTGCCGTAATACAGCTTTACGTCCGTCTGCCTTAATAAGGCTTTGCTGTACTACAGCTTTACGTCCGTTTGCCTTAAGAAGGCTTTGCTGTAATACAGCTTACGTCCGTTTGCCTTAATAAGGCTTTGCCGTAATACAGCTTTACGTCCGTCTGCCTTAATAAGGCTTTGCCGTAATACAGCTTTACGTCCGTTTGCCTTAATAAGGCTTTGCCGTAATACAGCTTTACGTCCGTCTGCCTTAATAAGGCTTTGCCGTAATACAGCTTTACGTCCGTCTGCCTTAATAAGGCTTTGCCGTAATACAGCTTTACGTCCGTTTGCCTTAATAAGGCTTTGCCGTAATACAGCTTTACGTCCGTCTGCCTTAATAAGGCTTTGCCGTAATACAGCTTTACGTCCGTCTGCCTTAAAAAGGCTTTGCTGTAATACAGCTTTACGTCTGTTTGCCTTAATAAGGCTTTGCCGTAATACAGCTTTACGTCCGTTTGCCTTAATAAGGCTTTGCTGTAATACAGCTTACGTCCGTCTGCCTTAACAAGGCTTTGGTACTATTGCTTACCTGTAACACAGCTGAGCATGAAGTGCCAGTCTCGTCTCGGGCGCCTGCTTATATACCCGTGTCCCCACCAGTGCGCGCTTGTGCTACTAGCGCCGTGGTGATATACAAACTATTTCAAGCATATTGTCGGTAACTCGTACCACGAGTCGATAATGCAGAAAGTGAAATTACCTATAGTTGTGTCAAAGTCAAAGTAAAGAATTTATTGGTAAAGCAGTTTTGTTTTGTTTACGATAATCTGTGCAGAATGGAATATACAAACGTGTTGTATAATTAAATAATTTTTTGAAAATCTTAAAGGAATAAGAAAATTACATTCGCCATGTAATTGTACAGATCGTGCGACGTAATATTACGTCAAAGTGTAGAAATACACGCAATGTAAAAATACCACGTCGGACATAGTGATCAAATTTTCCTACGTCGGACGTAGTAAATTTACACAAAACTATTAAATTACATAGTCGTATAATGTAAAATTATTAAAAATAGTAAAACTACTTTTGGAACGAAATAAATTTACTACGTACAACCTATAATTTTGATGTGTGAAATTACAAGTTTCGTGTTATTTTACACCAGATTTTTTTACAGTGTAGTTTTACTTTTAATATTAATTAATTAATTTATTAATTATAAATAATAATATTAAAAAAAAAAATTAATTGAAATTTATTTTTATCAATATAAATTTTGATAATCACACAAATTAATATTAAAGGTATATTGAAATCAGTACTGATTGAAATTGTTTTTATTTTTTAGGTTAAAAATTCCAACCATACGTCAAGTCATAATAAATTTGACACATACCATAAGGAAACGAGCGACACCAGTTCGGAAAATTAATTAGGATAAATATTGTCTTGAAATTTTATTTTGAGGTTAGTTTTAATGTTTAATTATTGTTTATAGTAATAAATAGGTATATTTTTTTCTCTTGTTTCTAACTTTATATGTAGGCTTCTCATGGAAACATTGTTTTATTGAAAATTTTTTTTTAAATTTAAAATTAACCTTAGAAGAATAGAAAATGTTGACAAAGAAACCAAAGAAATTACAGTTCCTCTACGGGTGACTTGTCTAAACAGATAATCTTTGATTCGCTGCTTTTTTGACAAGATGGTTACTAAAATATTATTTTGAATAATTTAGCCCATTTGCTGAAAAACAATTTCTTGGATAAACTCATTTTATTAAGTAAACGTTTGTGTAAAGCCACATTATATCGAATGACATTTATATGGATTTAACGTTTGACATAATTTGTAATTTTGATCAAATTACATTTTGGACTTTTTAAAAACGGGGATATACAGGGGCCGTATTCTCGAAAGCATTCGACAATTCTCGCATGCGTAAAATGTCGAATGGTTAATGTCGCATGCGACTCTGAAAGTCTATTCTCAATGACCGTTCGAGATAGGTTGTTCGAAAATTTCCGTGTGCGACATTCATACATTGTTGCCGTCGTTTCCAAATACTTATCTGCCAATCATAATTGAGGAGGAAGAGAACTTGACATATGAGAAAAATACAAATAGTTATCCGTTCATTTAAATATTTCAAAATCAATTCAATTTTGCGTTTACAATTTTTATAAACAAATTAACTTTAAGCGGTTTCAGTTTGAAATTTTATAAAATTTTAATTTTGAATGAATTTAATTTAAACTTTTGATAATTCAAATTCTTTTGAAATTAGTTATATTTGGCAATATATATTTAATTAATTATTAAAAATAATGAATTTATAGAAGAATTTTAGTTAAAAACACTAAATACATTGAATTTTGTAGACGTACGTTACAAAATGATTACAAAAATTTAATTATTTTTAAATGTAATAAAATAATGAAAAAATAATAACAATCAAATATTTATTTAAATAGAAGTTACTGATATTATTACGAATAATTTTATAATTAAAGAAATTCGTAAATAAATGTAACAACATTTTTTTTATATTAAAGTTTTAATATTAGCATTTGTAAATTGAGAATTTTTTACAAAAATGTTAAGAAACTGGAATATGTAATATTTTTTTTTTAAAGAAAAGAATCAGTTTGTGAACAATATTGTTATTGAAAAATTAAAATTATGCATAATAAAGGGATATATCCCTTTATATTATGCATAATTTTAATTAATAAATATATATATTTCCTATTTTTGCAAAAAGAAAATTTATTTGTTAATCAAAATTTTTTGTAATTTTATAATTTTAAATTTTATTTTATTTTAAATCTTAAAAAAGAGCATACTTTCAATTTGTGAAACAATATTTTGTAAAGAAAAAACAAAAGCATACACAAAAACTAACTTTAAAGTGTGAACAGACAGAAAAAATGAAACGAAGATTAAAAAATTAAAAAAAATAAAAAATAAAATAAATATATTGTTAACATGATTCATTCACAAAAATAACACAAACATGTGCAATTTATCCATTATAAATTTTGCATATTATAAATTATTTACATTAAACTTTTATTTCACAAGTTTACTTTTAATTCTTAAACATTACATTTAGGTTATTTTGTATAGTTTTTCTACTTTAGCATGCGGTTCATGTACACTAATACTACTTTATATTATATACGTTTATTACAAGGATGACACACAACATTATTTTTTACTAGCATTTCGTATACGACTTTGCATCTCGAATGGCCACTACCCACTCGAGATGAACCATTCGGAAATTATCGCATACGACATGAAATCTCGCATGCGACAAGCGTTCGAGAATAGCTTTTTCCATCTCGAATGGTCTGTCGCATGCGACATCTAGGGTCATCGATTCGAGAATACGGCCCCAGGCGCCCCAATTAAATATGTTCGCTCTCGACTGTGTATTAAACGTTTTAAAAATGCGCGGTTCATTTCGCTAATAAGATCATTTTTGTAGCGCAAGCGCAGTTGCGTTTGGTGAGGGTACAGTACTTTTCAATTATGCCTTCTTAGTTTGAACGTGTCGCACTCATATGTTTCCATGGAAACATATGAGTGCGACACGTTCAAACTTGGAAGGCATAATTGAAAACTACTGTACCTGGCAGCTCTGCAATGTGAACAACATTCATATGCAGAATCGGCAGAATGAATTAATGATGTACCCACATGGTCACATTTTATGTATACATTGTATGTACATAAATTATTTATCAACCTTTAGTAATGTTCATGTTTTTTTATACAATGCTACTAATTATGCATATTTTATGAATGCAATGACTCTCTGATTGAGAAAAAGAAAGAGCAGATCCAAAGAGAATATGAACAGGAGATAAAGATAACATATATAGGTATATTGAGTTGATTTGCTTATATGTGTAGATGTGTAGGTGGAAAAAGGAAGATGGCTGACTTTGTGAAACAAATGCAGTGTTTTTGTAAATAATAAACCATTTGATGGTGTGTCTAGGAGAATTTCGTCTTGCAATTCCTTCGAAATTGAGAGCAATGATTACGAAAACAAGTTGGTGAATGACATTTCGCCCCAGGAGAATTGCCGAATAAGTAAATACTTTTCCATTGTTTTCGTAAAGACATTTATAACGCGTTTAGACGCTCGCACACGATTGAGACGATTGAGACGAGGAACGTAAAAAACTGAAAGTGCACGACGGGCAAATGAATCGATGATGTTTCCTTATGATCCTGCGAGAACTGAAATGAAAACACATTGTTCATTGTTATCGACTCCTCGCACGTGACTCCGCTTGCAAACATCATATTGCGGTACGACCCGAAGCTGGATCGCAGTATGAAGGAGATGCTTGGAGGATGCTGTGTGTGTTCTGACGAAAGGGGTTGGACTGAGAATCCACTGGTGTACTGCGATGGCCAAGGGTGCACAGTCGCCGTTCACCAGGGTAACTTGCTCAATATCTCTAACGAACCGCCTAGCGACTAGATAATTCCATTTTCCACTCTCTTTAGAACTCAAAGGATCAATCAAAAACAACCAAATAACTTTTATTTGTACTATATTGGCAAGAAGATGTCAATCTCCCCCACAAGTCACTTCTTTTTAACTGGAAACTACTTTTTTTCTTTCTTGTGAACCACTTTGTTATTTCTTTGTCGACATGTAAACAACATTCATGCATGTGCTCCGAACTATTGAATTTTCATCAGTTGTGACAGCAGTTTGTAATTTACTTATGAAACTGAACAAGTAATTAACTTTTTTTAAAAAAAAGTTAAGTTATTCACTTTTTTTTTAAATTAAGTAAATGGTTGTGAAATTTATCACTCGGTAAAAGAATATAAAATGTCAAGAAAATTAAAAAAGTTTAGTAATTACCTTTTTTTTAAAAAGTTAATTACTTCTTTCAATTTCAATCAAAAACCGCTGTTAAATTGAAGTAAAATTTTTGGAGTCCTAATGGCAAATTACTTCTTTTTCTAAAAATTTCTATTAGTTATGTATTCACATTTTCTTTTATCCCTATTTACCTAATAATTATTAATTTATAATTAACACAGGGATCGTCACTAATTGTGCTGTATTTAAGCGACAAATCGCTCGGGAAAAATGGAGAAAAACGAGAATCTCATAAAAAAAGCAGAAAACAGGGCTCGGACCAGTGAAAGTATTTAAAAGTACGGACTTTACGAACCAAAAATCAAAAATCACGAACCAATTGATGACAAAAATATAATCCGTCCGAGTCAAATAAGAGAGAAAATTTTAACCAAAACTTCATGTTTCTTTAAGGTATTTCCCTTAGTTTTATACTTGGAAAAAATCGATTTTGATAAAAAAATATTCTTCAAATTTGGAGTGAATGTTCCTTTATGCAAGCCTAATATTTTGTAAAAAATGTGGAACCTTTTACAGAACCCAAATTGAGATATTTGGATTCAAATTTTCAACTTTTAACAAAATTATATATATAGTTCAAAATTTTAATCCAAATATCTCAATTTGGGTTCTGTAAAGGGTTCTAAAATTTTTACCAGGCAGAAGACCTGCATAAAGGAATATTTACTCAAAGTTTGAAGAATATTTCGGCAAAATCGATTTTTTCTAGTAGAAAAGTAAGAGAAATACCTATATGATAATGAATTCTGAAATTAATTTAGATTTTTTTCGGGAAACAATCTCAGGGTTTTCACAAAAATTTAATTTTGTTTTTCCCTAATTTACAGACTTTTTCTTGACCGATTTTGACTTTTTCCTTGACCCTAAAAAATGTTTTGATTCACTCCAAAAATTATTAGATAATCCAAAAAATGTTCTATTACATTTATTTACGATTTTTCTTTAATTGTAAAATTATTTGAAAACACCAATACCTCCTTTTTTAAATAAATATTTAATCATTATTATTTTTTCGTAAGAATTAAAATTATTCAGAACATTCAACTTCAACATTAACTTATATTAAATAATAATTAAAGATGACCAAGTGATAAAATAATTATTTTTAATTATAAGAATATTGTTACTGAAACTTCTTCAAAATTATTATCATCATTTTCATTCAATTATTATTTTCTGGAATTTTTAATCAAAATTCTTATTTAACCCAATTATTTTAAATAATTTTTGAAAAAGTACTTTGAGAATTTTCAAATCCATTTGTTTTCCAAATTTTTTTACGAAATTTCGATTATGCGCAAATTCTTCAACTAAATATATATATTAGAAAATTAAAACTTCAGATAATTTAAAAAAAAATTCAATTAAACTTTAAAAAAAAATGAATTCTACAGTATTGTTAGTTCAATAATTAAAAGTATGAAAAATTCAGATTTTCAAAGATTTTAATTTGAAACCCTTTTAAAATTCAATTATTTCTAAAAGTTCATGCTATATAAATATTCAATTATTATCTAAAATTTTAATTGAAATTAATTTTTAAATCAATTTTTATTATACAATTCTACTAAAAATCAGTTATTTAAATACAAAAATAAATAATTTATTATATAATTCAACGATTTTTAAATTTTAATTCTCAGAAAAAATTTTATTAACAAATTTTCAAATAATTGAATTCTTTCGACGAATTTTAATAAAAATTTTAAGAATTCGATTAAAAGTGTATTAAGGGGGTATCTGGTCTAGAGGCCTTAATTTTAGGTGTTTTTCGGAGTAGAATAAAAAACAAAGTTTAAAATATGTAGTATTTACTTTTTTTGCAAGTTGTTTATTCAAGTTTAAAAAATACAGAAAAAAATAATAAAAAATTTTAAAAGTTATAAACTGGTGAAGTGGGGACTAAAAAAAAAGTGCGAACTATTTGACAGTGTGGAGACTTTTGTAGTGCTCTAAAACAAAAACCCCAACGAAATTCTTGAGTACTAGAGGCTTCACTATGTCCGATACCTTAGAAAAGAAAAAAATTTCTTTTGCAAAATGGCAACGATTTGAAAAAAACGTGTTTTTTTAACATTTTTGAATTTTTTAAAAATAGTAAAAAAAAATATTTTTCAAAATCCAAGGTTCCAGCCATGCCATAAAGAGATATACGAAGAACATTTTTGTGAAATTTAAAGTAAATCGGTTGAGTAGATTTTTTTTGTATTTTTTAAACATTAATAAACAACTTGCAAGAAAAGTACAGTAGAACCTCGATTATCCGAGGTAATGTGGGGAAGAGGTGCCTCGGATAATCGAAAACTCGGATAACACGGAACAAATGAGAATTTCAAAATTTTAAATTATTTTCCATGTGTTTAAAGTGTTAGAATAATATTAAATGACAAAAATGGACGAAATTTTAAATGCAATGATCACAAATAGTGGTTTTGTAAAATTTTTTTTCCAAATTTAGTCGCTCGATCCGTTTTATCCGAGTTATTCCGCATTATCCGAGCATGTTTAGTGCCTCGGATAATCGAGGCTCGGATAACCGACGTTCTACTGTAAATACTAAAAATGTTAAACTTTTTTTATCCTACTCGGAAAAACCCCCCTTAAAAATAATTGAAATTTCGCAATGAATTTTATTATTTATGAAAATAATTGAATCCCTTTAAAAAATTTATTATTTATGAAAAAAAAATTGAATTATTACAAAGAAATTTATAAATATTATTTGTAAATAATTGAATTCTTGTAAAATTTTTATTATTTATGAAAATAATTAAATGTTTTCGTAGAGTTTTATTAACATTTTTTTAAATGATTAAATTCTTTTGGATAATTTTATTAAAATAGTAGATATTGAAAATCATTGAATGAGAAAAATTTTTGAAACTAATTGAATTTTTTATCAAAAATTTTATTAAAATTTTTGAACATATGATTGAAATACTGCGAATAATTTTATTACTTTTGAAAATAATTGAATTTATGCAATCACTTGTAACTTTTAAAAAATTTAATTTTTTTAGTGTTTTTAACTAAAATACTTCTATTAATTCATTATTTTTTATAATTAATTAAATATGTATTAAAAATGTAACTAATTTCAGAAGAATTTGAATAATTAACATTTTTTAAAAATCTAAGTTCTTTAAAATTTATAACTAAATTCTTTGAAAATTGAAATTTTATAAAATTTCAAATTAAAACCTTTTGAAGTTGCCACCCGACTGGTATTAGGGAGTGCGTCCGAGCGCTCGGCGAGTTGTTGCATGCAGGTACTCAATTTTATGGTAGGTCTTCAAGAATTAAGTTATTTGAAACGAAATTATTGTTAGAATTAGAAAAAATTAAAGGTTTTGTATTAGAATTTTTGCTAATTTCATAGTTCATGAGGCAAACAAAAAATACACCATAATTCAAAATTTTCTTATGAATTTTAATAATTTAATTTTTTCCAGTACTTTTCATAAAAATCTCTGACTTTTCCCAGACCTATAGGCAACCCTAAAGACTACAATCGTATTCTTATTCTGCAACCCTGAAAACTATCGTTTATCCTTGCAGAAAAATTTTGTTCACCAGTGTAATCAAATAAGAATTTTATGATGACATTTTTAATAAACAGTTGCTTTTTAATACAAAACAAATTTTTGTTTCGGAGAGATTGATATATTCTTTCTAACAATTATATAGTCATTAAGTAATAATTTCAAAGACAACTATAAAGACTGCAATAATTAATTAACTCCCTTGTCTGATTAACTGTTTCTGTTTTAATAATAAAATTTTAGTCTTCCATAAAGTTTGTCGAATTTTGTTTAGCTTGCTATGGCATAGTTACGGTGCCAACTGGACCTTGGTATTGCAGAAAATGTGAATCGCAGGAGCGCAGTGCACGCGTGGTGAGTATATTATCTGCAAATATTAAAAATTGATCTAATGCCTTTGCTCATGGCGTCGCTTGAAACGTTAAGCTCCCCCTGTGAAATTCTTTTTTGCGGCGATATACAAACTGAATTTATATAATTTTTGATTAAGCGCTGTGAGCTGTGTCCAAGTAGAGATGGAGCTCTCAAGAGAACAGATCAGGCTGGTTGGGCTCACGTAGTGTGTGCTTTGTACATCCCTGAAGTTCGATTCGGTAACGTTACTACGATGGAGCCAATTATACTTCAACTCATTCCTTCAGAAAGATTTAATAAGGTATGTTATATTTTCATTTAAAAATATTTGTTATTAATCATTTAAAAAGCCCTTATGGCGCTAAGTCTTGATTACTTTTTATAAAAACCTTTAATTTTCAGACATGTTATATTTGTGAAGAACAAGGAAGAGGAAGTAGAGCAAATGTTGGAGCCTGCATGCAATGCAATAAAGCTGGATGTAGACAGCAGTTTCATGTCACTTGTGCTCAGGGTCTTGGACTGCTGTGCGAAGAAGCTGGAAACTATCTTGACAATGTCAAATACTGCGGCTACTGTCAGCACCACTATTCAAAATTGGTAAGTTACCTACACTTGTCTTTTTTTAATGTTCTAAAATATTCAGATCGAGTTGCATTAAAACTTCTAAAAGACGAAATGTTGTTAATTGAAATATTAATGCTTTCTTTCTTTTTAGAAAAAAGGAGGAAACGTGAAAACTATTCCCCCTTATAAACCAATCCCAGCCGATAATGGATCATCAGATTCGTCTCCAGAAAAAGAATCTGAAGCGCCCATCAAGTCATCGTCAAGCAATGCCAAACGAAAAAACTCAAATTTAAAATCAGGTGCTTCTATTAAAAACAAAAATATAAGTCCCAGTGTTGAACTTAATGGTGTGGCAGATGAGAAAACCAGTAGTGGAAGGAACACACCAAAAGAAAATGCTGCAATCTCAAGTAAATTCACAACTTCGAATTTCGTCGAGACTATTGTGACTCAATCGGAAAGTGTGTTCGGTCATGAAAGTACCGGTATTCCTACGACTGCTGCTCCATTTCCCCCGACAACAATAACCAAATCAGCGTCAAATTCAAGTCTTATTCAGAAAAATGTTAGTCAGTCAAAGTCCAGCACTTCGACATTTAGTAAAGCATCGAATCATACGGGTAAAAAGAGGAAAACGGGAGCTCGCACTCCAACTGCTTTAAGTAACGAAAATTCTAACCAGTCAGTCAATTCAGATACCAGTGGTTCCATGATAGTCCCTACAAATGCTGTTCTCCAGCAGGTTAACAATAGTAATATTGTTCAAACAACTGTTGCCGAAACTACAAGTTTAAACACATTGTCGGAAACTGAGCAGACGAAAAAGGTAAAATATTTATTTCTTACCGTCACATAAAACGTACAATATTTGACTGTTCTACTGTTGAGCGTCTGAATAATTCGCTCTCCGATCGACTGAACTCTTACAAACCAGTCATACAAAAATGGGATGAAAATAAACATTCTAAACTTCAAGAAAAAGTTGAACGAAAAAAGACCGGGCTATTCAATTTTCTATTTAAAAAACTGTGTTTCAAAAATTTTAATTTTGAGATTAAATCCATTTCAAATCGGACAAATCGACTAACTTCAAGTCGCATCTATATTTGTCGATAACATATGTTAAAACCTACTATTTACTACTTTTTTATGTTATGCTATTATTTGGGTACTTGTTTTAGATTTCAGCCACTAAAAGCTACTATTTCTGTTTTTTTAGAATTTCCACTACTTTAAATTCGCTAATACTAGAAATCAAAAAACTACTCTCAAAAATTATAATCAAATTCGTTAAAGCGATTCAATTATTTTCGAAAAATATTCGAAATTCAATTATTTTCAATATCTAGTATTTTCATAAAGTTTCTAAAAACGATTTAATAATTTTTAAATAATTGATAAAATTCATCCAAAATTCAATTATTTTTATAAATAATAAAATTTCCAAAAAATTCAATTAATTAAGAATAGCATTTTGAAAAAAATTTAGAAAAAATTAATTATTAAACAACATTTTTATACAATTCTTCACAATAATTCAATTACTTTCACTAATAATTACATTTTTCATGGAAATTCAATTATTTAACAAAATTTTTGATAAAATTCTAAGCAAAAATTCAATTATTTTCATAAATAATAATACTCATCGAAGAGTTTCAATTATTTTTAATATTATTTGAAAATAATTAAACGAAAAATTCAATTATTTTTACAAATAAAGTTTTCCACAAGAATTCAATTATTTAAAATAAAAATATTCATAGGCAATATTTATTATATTTCAAAGAAATTAATTATTTAAAATAATGTTTATAAAATTCTCATCAAGAATTCAATTATTTTCAAAAGTAACAAAATTTTTCACAAAAATTCAATTCTTTTTAAACATTTTAATAAAATTTTTCGCAATAATTTAATTATTTTCATAAATAATAAAATTCTTAGAAACTATTCAATTATTTTCACAAATAATAAAATTCATCACAGGATTTTAATTATTTTTAATACAATTTTACAGAAATTGCTCAAAAAATGTTATTATTCTTAAAAATTTGATTTAAATTCCTCGAAAAAATAAATTAAAAAGAAAAAGTTTTTTTTAAATTCTTTGGGAGAATTCAATTATTTAGAAAAATATTAGAATTTTTCACAGCAATTCAATTATTTTCCAAAGTAATAAATTTTTTCTTGAAAAATTCTATTAAAATCGTTCGCAATACATAATTCAATTACTTTCATAAATAATAAAATTCTTCTCAAAAATTAAATTATTTTCAGTACAATTTTAATAACATTCTTTGGAAGAATTCGGTTCTTTTCATAAATAATAAAATTCATCGCAGGATTTTAATTATTTTTAATACAATTTTACAGAAATGACATTCGATTTCAATTCCTCGAAAAAATCAATTATTTAAAAAAATGCTTTTTTTAATTCTTTGGAAAAATTCATTTATTTACAAAAATATTAAAATTTTTCACAGGAATTCAATTATTTTCAAAAATTCTAATAAAATCGTTCGCAAGAATTCAATTATTTTGATAAATAATAAAATGCTTTTTAGGAATTTAATTATTTTCAAAAGAAATTTAATAAAATGCTGCACAGACATTGAATTATTGTGGAAAATTTTAATAGAGTTCTTTGTAAAATTTAATTATTTTTAAAAACTTTTCGCAGTTCAATGATTTGTAATGTCTACTATTTCCATAAAATTTTCAAACAGAATTCAATTATTTAAAATTTTTTTGTAAAAATCTTTATATGAATTCATTTCTTTTCATGAATAATAAAAAATTCTCAGGAATTCACTTATTTAAATTAGAATTTGCATAAAATTAGTCGAAAGAAATCAATTATTTAAAAATGTTTATAAAATTCTTCGCAAGAATTAAATTATTTTTATTAATATTTAAATTCTTTCATGAGTAATAAAATTCGTTGCAGGAATTCAATTTATTGTCAGGATAAAAAAGAAGTAAATATTTTTGATGAAAATTAGGAAAAAGTCAAGAAAAAAAATATAGAATGGAATTTGTGTCAGTTTTGTGAAGTGTCTAAAACAAGTTTTTATAGTCGTCAAGTTTAATTTTTCGTTAGTTACTTTTTTACTACTTTTTTTAGTTTAGAAGCTACTTTTTGCTACTTTTTTAAAACTAATTATCGAGTGCGAAGTTTGCATATATGTTATTCTACATGAAAAATAAAGAGACCCGTATTTTTTTATTTTTCAAAAAAACTCTATTTAACGGAGTTACGCACATTTGAACTTTGAGTGACACAACTCGAATAAACAGTGAAAAAAAATTATTTTGTTTGTAATTTTTCTTCTCTTGTGTAGAATTAAATTTTTTTTCTTGTCTCTTGTAGATGGTTTTTTCCTCTTCAAAATCCCGTTTAATATTTGTAAAAAGATTTAAATATTAACAAAATAGAGGATGATTTTCTGAAAATAAATAAGATTAAATAAATTAATTTTCTCAAAAACACCTCCTTTTATGAAGAAATTTTTACAACAAATTCTTAAAATAATGAAGAACAATTCCTGTGAGTTTCAAGCGCTTCAAGCGGGCTAAACAATTCTGTAATTCAGAAATTTTTTTTTTTGACATACATATTTATTTTCACAAAATTTCAGATTGTTGAAGTGCATTTTCTATAGAACAAATAAATTGTTATAACATTTTATTATCCTCGGAAGTCTACTTCAATAATGTTATAACGATTCACTTATTCTTAAAAATGCACATCAACAATTTGAAATACTGTGTAAGTAAATATTTCAAAAAAATATAATATAGTTTTTTTGGAAAATAAAAAAATACGTCTTTATTTTTTATGTAGAATAACATATTTTAGCGACAGGTAAATTTACGACTTGAAGTTAGTCGACTTGCCTGATTTGAAATGGTTTCAGTCTAGACTCTAGAATTTTAATTTTTACACATTTTCATTACACATTTTTTGACATGTTTTCGTGAGTTTGACTGGTTTGTAAGCGTACCAGACGCTCTATTATATCATGATAGAAACGCAGCGGTAAATTGAGTGACATTTCTACATTTATATTAAAATTTGTCTGATTTTAGTTGAGAACTGACAGTCCGCTAGTGCTGGCAAACGCAGTTCTATCCACAGAGGAAACAACAAGCACTCCTGTAATTATGTCAATAACACAAAACCAATTGCCGATTGCTACTCAGTCATTAAGCACTTCGTCGAATAGTATAGTTGTCTCTGTTCCATTAACTGCAACTTCCCTTCCTAACACTGTACAAAGTACAATAACCAGTGCATCCACATTATACCAACAGTTGCAGCAAAGTATGATCACCTCGGCAGCCAATGCTGATGGGAAGACCAATGCAATACCTAATACCGACCAATACTCCGTAGAGGAAACGCCGTCTAAGCGATCTCGGTAAGTTCTTTCCACCTTCGAGTACTTTATTTATCAAATCGATCAATGTTCATTATTCACCTGAACAACAGAGAAAATACACCCTGCCGAAGTTTTCAAATTCTCACAATAAATGCAACATTGAATTTATTTTTGAGCACTCAAAAAGATGTACTTGTTTTTGAAGTGTAGGAAAATTCGTCCGTAAATTGTACCTCAAGTAGGTAACTATTTTTCAAAGTAATTTTTCTTTTCTTCTGGTAGGGTGTTATTATTTTCTATTTTCTGTTAGCTCCTTTTCACCATTCTATTGTTATTTTTAGACCACTTATCCTGAGTCCTTCAACACTCTCCGAATCCTACTTGAAATAATTAATTATGTTATCATAATTACTAATAACTTTCAGCTGATATAAATCTTCATTTTGAGGGAGCGTTTTGCGTTTGGACATAATTTCGAATTTTTTCAACGAAATAGATCACAGTAAAAATAAAAGTCTTATTTTTAGCCATAAAAGGTACCTTAATTTAAGATGCAACATTTTTAAGACAGCCTTCGTTTAATTTCAAATCATATTTTTTTGCTGAATTGAAAGAGCAAAGTAAGCTGAATATCTGCAATAAGAATGTTCTGAATTTAAGGCAATCATGTTAAAAATCAGCAGTTGTATACTTAATTTAAAAAGTAAAACTGTAAATTCAGATTGCCTATCCTTATTTTCACGCAAGCCGGGTTTAAATTAAGACTGGCATTACTTTCAAGACTTGTTCAATTTCATATAGTCCTGAAAATAAGATTTACTTTTTACTGTGGTGTTCAAGTTGCCCCATACAGTAGGTTCTACAATAAGTCTAAGAAGAAGGCTTTTTCTATCTCATTTTTCTTTATTTCTTATTTTTATAAACAGGATTAAGGTACAGTACCATATGAACAGAAAGTTCAAAACGGAAAATTTTAAAGGTGAGTACGTCATTTCAGGCAATATCCACACTGGGCTCAGTTATATATGTTGTGCTCATATGGCTTTAAAATTGTACAGCGTTTTAGAGATGTGCGAATAGTTCGAATTCAAACTATTCAAAGATTTCGAATTCGAATAAAATTTTTTTATAATTTTAACTTTGAATAAAATTTTATGTTTTAATTTAATAATTTACTTATATAATAAATACATATGTTTATATTTTAATAAATTAAAATTAAAATGTGTTTATATTTATATTAATATAATACACGGAGAGATAATATATATTAAATTTTGTAAAAGTATTTTACAAATTGAGAAAAAAGCGCGACCAAGCGAAATTTTTTAATATAAATAATACTGAACTTTAAAAAAAACTACTGTAAAAGTTAGTAAAGTTATATTAGATTTTAATTAATATTCTGAATATATGATATAATTATACTAAATTTCACTTAAGTTTTTTTATAATTTATTATTTTTTATATGAATATTTCGTTTTGTCGCACTTTTTCCCCACACCCTAAAAAAAGTAATCTCATTGTTAGAGGAAAAATCCTCTCAAAACAATAAAAGTATTCAACTTGAATGTATATTATTTTTATTCTTTGGTGGTTAATAATAAAACAAAACAATTTTTTGAGGTTCAAATGTCAAATACATTGAATTCAAATGAAGTAAATAAACATAAATAAATATACTCTCTAAATCTGAATTAGCGAAATTCCACTAATTTCCCAGCGATAAGTATATCACTGATTCAATTAGCGTATATACGCTGTGAATTAGTGGAATTTCACTGATTAATTAGCGTATTAGCTAATTGAATCAGTGATATGCTTATCGCTGGGAAATTAGTGGAATTTCGCTCATTCAGATTTAGAGAGTATTAATTACTGTAAGTAATTAACTATTAATAACTAATTATATTTATTTAATTAAAAACGCTTAATTCAGTACATCAAAAAACCTTTTATTTATTGTCTCATAACCATATAATTAGAAAATAATATTGGAGAGGAAAATCCTCTAAAGCGAAGTATATTACTTTTGATACCATATATTAAGAGGAAAATATGCATTCAGTTTAGAGGAATCCGCATCAAATCAAGATTACTTTTTTTAGGGTGGCAGTTTGTTAAATACTTTAACAAATTTTAATTTATATATTCTCGTTAAAGTATGAGAGTGAACGAGATAGTGATATGAGGTTGTTTCTGTCACTTTCATGCATTTACGCTTTGATGTTTTTATGCCTACATGGGACAGTAACTTTATAAGTTAGTTGAACCTGTGATGTATGATGAATTCATTTTTGCAAAACCGTGTATGGCAGGGATCCTATTAATTCATTGGGCCTAAACACAGTGAAAATCGTTAAACCTAAATCGTAAACTTTACAAATAAGGGGTCATTCACAAACTGCGTCACGCCTTTTCGGACTAATGGCACGGTCACACCTCGGCTGCCTGCCTGCCTGCGCAGCCAGCCGCCACGAGAGTAAGAGAGAGGAGACGAATAATTTAAATTGTCTGACTCTCTTACTCTTATGTATTGCCATGACGACCTGCAGGCAGGCAGGCAGGCAGCCGAGCTGTGACCGTACCATAACTCTGACCCCCCCTCTTGGTCACATTTTTACATACAAAAAAATTTTTTTTCCACACTTCGTCACACACAGCTTGACACCCCTCCCCATCCCTAGAAATGTGCCGTAGTTTGTGAACGGCCCCTAAGATGAAAAGGACAAATTATATTTCTATCCTTTTTTCTCTTATGTAAATATTACGATTTTTAACGTTTATTGGCCTATTGGCCCGACGAACATTGAAAATCGTATGATGTAAATCGTAAACTTTATAAATTCACTTTCAATCATTAAATATTCAAAGCAAATTATCGTAAATTTACATGCAGTATATGCAATTACTTTGAATAAAGCAAAATAGATTTATTTTTATGCTATTGTAGAAACACCTTTACAACTTGGTGTTTTTCTACAATAACTTTTTAAGAACTTAGATTTGAAACAATGTGTAATGGCAAGTTATTCTTTATTTATCGAAAGCTATTTTAAAAAATTTTTTTTATTTATTTTTTGATTTTATTGTTTTAAATAGTAGCTTTCGATAAATAAAGATTTACTTGCAATTACACTTTAGTACAGAAATAAATCTTTAAAAAGTATTGATGAAAAACTGATTTATTTTCATTGATGATTATAATGTATTGCTTGGCATCCATAGTCATCCTCCATATTGAATTTTCCTCGCACTCAACATGAGGGGCTTTCTACAACAACTTTTTTTTCATCGACACGAACAAGATGCAGTGTAAAGGCCTAAGCACAATAGATTCGCGAAAGTCGTTCGCGAACGCAAAGCATGAGTTAGAAAAGGACAGAGATATATTTGTGTCCTTGTCTATCTCATGCGTCTCGTTCGCGAACGACTTTCGCGAATCTATTGTGCGTTGGACTTTAAAAAAATGCAAAATAGTTGCGCGCGCATCGTTTTCACGTTCATGTCGATGAAAAAAAAGTTGTTGTAGAAGCAGCTTGAACTATACTTTGTGCAGTTGGTTCGTGATGACGAAGAGAAAACATTACTGATGTGAAAGCCCCTTAAACCTACAAAAAATATCCAGTGTTAAGTTAGTAAAATAACAAAGCAAAAAGAATACGAATACGGAAACAGGATATGCCTAGAAAGTAACAGAATTTGTCTGTGTCCTCTTCCTTACAAAATGCATTTTTTGTGGAGGAGAGTGAAATACGTATTTACGTCAAAAAAAACTCGAAAGACGCGTCGCGTCACATCCATCGCTTCCCAGCCTTGAACGGGGTTTGGCCATTGCAGGAACTTCTAGATGCTTCTAGAGTTATATTGCACTATTGGCATCACTGACTATTGTTGTTTCTCATCTTTATTCGCGTTTTCAAGCAGCAAAGAACGGGCGCACCCTAGTTGCGTGCGTTAGAATGAGAGGTAAATGTGAGCGACAGAGATAGAAAATTGGGAGTAGCATTTAAAATGGTCGTCGTTTCAGTATAAACAAGCAAGTTGCTCTAACCTCTTATGAGTAAAATTAGAATTTCCTCATAAAATTGTTGCCCTTTATTGTAAAAATTGGAAAAAAATCGTTAATTATTGCTTCAACGTAAGTTTTGCAAAGACTACGGTTCGTACTTTACCACAGATATGATACAATTGTGTTCTGATTGTTAGAAAAATAGTGTATTTTTAATAGTACTGAATGTTTTGCAGTGTTTGAGATTATCGATTTGGTCGAGGTCATTTATTATCATTTTTTAAAATATTTCTTGCAGAATTTAATGCGCCATTGAAAAATTCACATTTTTTTAATAATAGAGAAAGTTATTTTTAAATAATAATCATTAAAATTTTTGATAAAACTCTCTTGGTGTGATTGTGTTTTATGACTTTTTAGGTTATGTTTTTATTGTAATTAATAACAACGCGTCTTTGTTGTCCATTGAGAATTGTTCGTTGCTTATCGTTGTATTGCACACTATTTTAAGTAGAAAATACAAAATTAATAAAACGGGGAATATAATTTTAAGTACTCTTTTAAGAATTCGGTGATAATTAAAAAAAAATTAATAAATGCTCATAATCATTATGTAAAGTGATATGTAGTTGTTTTTTATTTAATTTTTTTTAAATATTAAATCACGTTTAAGAACAAATTAAATTACAGTTTGTATATAACTTTGAAAGTAAAATTTAATTTTAGAAAAGAACTAGGGCAAGTGCATCAAATATTACGAGTGCTATAATTTCGCAGTGATTTTTTTTAAGTCATACCTTTGTTGCGAATATTCAAACCATGGTTGTTAAAAATGGATTCCGCGATGAACAAATTTTTTTTTTATTTGAATTTATGCGTTGAAAAAAAGTGAAAATGCGAATTAATGTTTTACTAAAAAAATTATTTTTAAGTGATAAAATACAAATTTTAACATTAAATTAATTTAAATCTGCAATATTACAAACCAAATTCAATTAAGTGCTATATTTTTTACTTTTCTTTTAC